AGGTCAATGCTGGCAACGGCAGCACAGAGCGCAAAAGTGTTCCGTCGAACCGAAGCAGTCAACCCGCGACCGACCAAGGCTGTACCTTCCCGGACGAAGAGCCTGATGATCCCGCCTGGATTCCCGGACGACCCCCGAGCCGCCGGATTCGACACAATTACTCGACTCGGGGGCAGAGGAACGGCGCGCGACGACGGACTCGAGTGACAATTCAGAGCCCGGAAGCGCAGCGGACGTTGCCTGGCGCGATTGAGATTGCGACTCCCTTGATTACCGGAAGATCCCACGGGTCCTTGGACGCCTCCTCGTCCATCAGGAAACAGCTTTTCCGGAACGTCGTATCGGCCACTGGCGATGGGGAGGCTAGCGACAATCGCAAAGGCACTCGCTCCAACAATAGCAGTTTCCCCGCCTATCAAGGTTCCTGGAAAGAGGTACTCGATATCTGTGGGAACCCGGGATTTGTGGACATCGCGCGCTATTTAGATCAAGTACTTCTTAAGTTTTTGAATAAAACCCGCGAAACCTCGACAGTTATACCACAACATGCACACATGACACGCGGACCGCGGTCGCTGATGTCGATGGCACTGCGCCGCCTTCCGGAGTTTATCGCAGAGGAGCAGATATTACAAGATGAGATTGAGGAAGACGGGGAGGTTGATATGTGCGATGCTTACTTCACTGAGCTTGAGGCCTTCTATGCGTCCAACGACAGCGGGTGGCAGCCGCTGCGCGAAGCAGCGCGCGCACGAGGCATCCATTTGATCTCGGACATGATCCGGAGAGGATGGATTCCGAGATTGGCCGCCTGTCGCTTGCTCAAAGTGTGCTTGGAAAATGATGAATTCGATGCTTTTGAATCTTTGTTATCTCGTTGCTTGCTTGATGTGGCCACCTACGAGTATCCTTCGGCTTTTGAACCATCCAAGGCTAGTGACTATCGCGAAGACCCTATTCGGGTGCTGCGTCTTTATTACTCGCGCGTCCCTTCGCGGCGATCCTTCTTCTACGATGAATTGGCGAAGCTTCTCACGCGAGGGGTGTTCCCTCCTGAATGGATGGTCACCAGCCTATGGAAGAAGTGCGTTGATGGTGCGATCCTATCGGTATCTGCCGGAGACGGGGATTCCGCGGCTGCGACCAAAGCTGTTGAGGCCATCGTCCTCGCGTCTGCTGGCATTTACTCGAACACAGGTGCGACTTCAGCTCGTTGGGAAGGCCCACCTGCGCAGCGCTCTGTCAGATCGAAGGACACACGTGCGTCCACAACGAATGCGAGTTCATTGCTTGAAAGCCGGGCTCCTTGCCCCGTTCCTATCCAGGACGCTTTGAGCAATCTCATCGCTAGTCTTGTGACCGCGCTATGCGGCATGTGCATTACACGCACGCAAGCATCTGGGCCTGATGAAAGGACAAGCGGGCTCAAAATCCGACAAATGGTTACGCGCTTTGCATTTAACGTTCAAAGGGCCATTGGAATTGTCTCGACACCTGAGGAGATCCAAACACTGGGACTACAATCCCTCCGTCGCGGATATGTTCTGTTGGGCGATTTTATACTACAGGCCAACCAAGACGTCCCGTACGATCTGATTGTGTACTCTGATGCATTGTCAGAACAACACATGAATACATTTTGTCTATCATTGGCCGGCCAGCAGGATACGATCAAGGAGCTAGCCGAGTTTGTTCAACAAATTTTCCATTGCTGTGGGCATGCGCGTAAATCCGAGCCGACTCGCACTCCTCGGGAGATCAAAGACACGGTCACACGACTCGCTCGGCTGACGTCTTTGGCCGGGGTGTCTCTTCTGCTGGATAAAGTTGCAGCCGAAACCGCGATGTTACTGGCGGAGATAACTCTGGACGAGGATGACCACGTATGGGCATTAGAGATGCAAGGTGAAGCTATCTCATCACAGCAGGAGCAGAGGGCTGCGACTCGGCCTACTGCAACGAGTGAAGCATTTGCCGACCAGCCCGGCGATACTTATCGATGGGAGGATAGTATTGGAGAATGGGTCGCGAACACACCTGCCTCCAAACCCCTGGCCGCCCGGCCGAAACTCGCGTCGAATCTTGACTGCTCAATGAGCAGTAGCGCTTCGGCCAGTCCAGCTCCGTCCGAGACGATGGCGTCCAGCGTGACATCATCTGCACCATCGTTGACCGGCAAGAGGGAGCGTGCTCAGCAGGACTTGGAGGTGCGGTCGCCCAAACGACTTCGATCGGCCTCACTGAAGATGACGAGAGGAAGCTCTGGCGCTACGCGCCACGAGCCGAAACGGCCAGGCGAATCAGAATCTGCACCTGTAGCCGCCCGGACTCGCACGGCTCTCCGCGACCTCTGCCAGGCCAAGAACCGCATGATCCAACCATCTCGAACGCGAGAATCGACCATCGGCAGCAAGGATCTGACCCCTGTTACGAGTGGTTGTAGGACAGTCCACCCCTTGCCCCGGATCGAAGTGGTTATCGTCAACAGCTTTGCACCTGCAGTTGACACGACAAGGACTCAACCAGATGCCGTGCTAGTCTGCAGAAAATCGGCACGATTAGCTCGAGCCTCAATCTCTGCTCCCGTCCCCGCTGTTACCCCTACGGCCATTGCGACCGAGTCGAATAGAAGAACGACTCGACCTCGTCGCGCACGACTACCACCGCCGCCGCCGCCGGCGGTGATGTCCTATTTCGACGAGGACAGTGACGATGAGCTCAGCTTTCTGGCTTAAATCGTAGCCTCTTGTGTGAGTATTTTAGTACCGTTTGTTCTACACAGATTTTTCAGGGTGCGCATGCATCATCGGGCATGGCGGGCAGTTTATTAGGAAGTTTTTCGGTTCAGGTTTTAGTTTATAGTTTTCTGGATGATACCCGGGGCGATTGGGATAATGCTTTCGATTGTTGAGGATTTGTTTGGAGGGTGTGTTTAATTGTTTGTTGATAGAGTAAATCAAGGGTTTGTGGAATCAACTTGGCACCGAAAGGGTTTCATTTATCATAAGCATGGCATCATTGACGGCGGTTCGAGATCCGGTTTCGAATAGAACAGCTACACACAGGAGAGGGACATTGATTAATGGTCAATGCTCCGTAGTTATTCTTGGACTCTTGGGGGTGATGGAGTTGATGGAGTTTTCCGTCCTTGACTCCCCGGGGGATGCCAACTGGAAAAGGTTAGAAGTGTTTGAGATGGAGAAGTGACGGGCAAACTTGGCACCTTGTCAGGTGTCTGTCAACTCTGTCAACTCTGTCAACGGCCACGACTGGGTGTTTCAACTTGATGGAGACTTATCCCTGATCATTATCCCGCAAGATAGTTGTATGGTGGAGGGTGAGGAAAGACCAAACACAACTTCTCTCCAATCCGGAGCAATTCCCACCACCATCACCACCATCACCACCACCACAACGCGTGCGTGGTGTTTAACCGCCCGGCGTCAGCACTTTCTTCAGGGCTCTTGCATTATGCATCTGCACGAATCCTTTTTTCTTCCAACTAGTACTCTCTGTAACTAGAGTCTGTACTACTTACATGCGACGGTACCTTACTCCGTACCTCACCGACTTCAAAACCAAAACAAATGAAGAAAGCAAACCCACTCTGTCCCGCTTGACCTCCGCCGGCGTCTCTCGTCCTTCCGCCTGCATTGGCTCGCCCGACGCAAGGGCGTCAGCCAAGCCGCGAGATCTCAACCCGACCTCCGCTTGATTGTTTCAGCATCGAGCCATTGACCTTTCGAATTCTCGCGGTCGCCCGGATCAGCCGCTGTGGCGGGCGCCAATCCTTCCTTTGGAGCCGACGATGCACCGCGGTAGGATGGATATGTCCAATTCCTGGGCTCGGAGGCGAATACTGCTGTCTAGTGACTCTAGTCTAATGGCCGCCCAGCCAGCCAGCCAGCCAGGAGTGCAACCAGCCAAGGCCGCGCGACCCTCTCTCCCTCAACTCTCGTCTCCACCCTCCACATGATGATAATCTGAACCCAGGAAGCTCCAGCTCAAGATGGAGCACCGGCTCAGCATCCCATGAGCCTGTAATGCACTGACTCAATTTCCCCCTCCCCCTCTAGGCCCGATGACAGTTTGCTAGTAGTCGAGTGGGCTTAGAGACCAGAGCACAGGGCAAGACACAGAGAAATGAAGCAGGAAGGAAGGGGATTTTTTTTTTCGCTTGTTCTCTATGTATAATCATTCCCCACGGCTGGGGAAAAACCTACTTTTGTTTCCCTTCTCCCTTGACAGTGTACTGTCTGTTCTTTTTCTTTTGCACTTCATGTTGATCCCAGGTGGTCCTTTCGTTTCTTTGCCTCCACTTTTGCTTCTTATCACCCCCTTCTTTCCGGGGTCTGTTTATTTCTCTTTTCCCTATCTCTTTCTCTGGGGATCTTGTCTCCATTTGCTTTTTGGATTGTGGTCTAGCCATCGGTCTTCAATTCTCTCATTCCTGTTCAAGCTGTAGGAACTAAGTGACTGGCTCACCGAAAGCTCAGCATTCCGTTCGTTGCCTGCCGACCTTTACAATTTGGATCAAATATTCGGGTTCCCGGCGACCGTCCATTCCTCTCACCTTTCAGGAAAGCAAGGCTTTGTTTCCTGTGCATCGTGGTCTGAGGGTTTGTTGTGCGTGACAAAGCGAGTCAAAGACGAGACGAGGAGAAAGCGAAGACAACGCCATTGTTGGTGATCTCCATATCCAGGTGGTTGTGAGGGATCCTGTTCACTGCCTCCTCGGTGCCATTTATCCACCATAAGATCTTGCAAACAACCTGATCTTGGTTATTCTGTCCAGACTGACTGGTCAGAATACATCTGGCATCATACTTGTCCTCCTTCCCTCGTGGAAATCCCTTCTACGCAGAGCCGGTCTCTCATAGAAGATATCTCTCGTTTTAGCCCACGGGCGACCTGTTGCTGAGCCCTTGCTCACTGTCTTTTCACGTTCCCTCTTTTTTTTTTCTCCCGTCCTTGTAATCTCTTTTCTTTTTTTTTTCACAATGCTATCCTTCGTTCTGTGTACGTCCCTGGTTGGACTTGTTTCTGCTGAAGAGCTAGAAAAGCGTGGTGGTGGCGGCGAGACTTCGATGTATGAGATGCTCAATGATGACCTCGCCCGGCTGAGTTTGCTGGTGCTGGGCCTCATGGCGGCTGTTGTGTATGTGTGGAAGATGTGGCATCGACTCTCGAGTCATCTGCGACGACTAGCCAGCTTCAACAATGAGCGACAACTATACTTCGTGGCGCCGGACTCGATGCTATCGAAGATCAAAACGCACATCACCTATGCGCCCTTGTTCCGAGCCCGACACAATCGTGAATTCCAACTGTCCCGGGCCGTTAACATGGGTACATTGCCGAGTCGACTTCACTCGTTTCTGCTGGTTGGCATCGTTGCCATGAATGTCGTCCTCTGTGTGGTCACCGTGCCATATGGCACCACCGAGAGCACTACCGCAGGCATCATCCGTAACCGCACCGGAACAATGGCCACTGTGAATATGATCCCGTTGATCCTCATGGCTGGTCGAAACAACCCCTTGGTTACGCTGCTGCAGATTCCATTCGACACCTTCAATCTGCTTCACCGCTGGCTCGGCCGCATCGTGGTCTTGGAAGCCATCGCTCATATCGTGGCTTGGATGGTCCCCAAGGTTCAGACATGTAAGTAGCTGTTGGTCGGCCAGCTTTGTCGAAGTGATGCTAATGCTTTCTGCTAGCGGGCTGGGCCAAGGTTGGAGCAAGTCTTGGGGCAAGCAACTTCCTTCTTGTTGGTCTGATTGTGAGTGCCTGAGTTGGTTCAATGTGCGCCATGCAATCTCACTGACTTTGGCTCTAGTCGGGATGTGCTTTCCTAGCTCTCCTGTTGCATTCGCCTTCGCCTATTCGACACGCCTTCTACGAGACGTTCCTCCACCTTCACATTGTGTTCGCTGTGCTTGCGATCGCCTTCCTTTGGGTCCACCTCAATGGTATGGTTTCTCAGTACTACCTGATGGTCGGCATTATCTTTTGGGCTCTGGAGGTAGGTTGATCTAACACTCAAAATCGACAACCATTCAATGCTGACATGATCCTAGCGTGCTGCTCGGCTTGCGATTCTCGTGTACCGTAACTGTGGCCGTGAGTCTACCACGGCCCTTGTCGAAACCATGCCTGGCGATGCGATGCGGATCACCATCAAGATGGCCCGACCCTGGACCTTCAAGCCCGGTCAGCACATCTACCTGTACGTCCCTGCTGTGGGATGGTGGACTTGCCATCCGTTTTCGGTTGGATGGAGCGAAGAAGCCGAGTCTCTGTCGGACGAGAAGGGAATCCCCATGAACCGACAGGATATGTTGGGCCTGCAGAAGACTACCATTTCCTTGCTCGTACGTCGGCGAACCGGGTTCACCGACAAACTGTTTCAGCGGGCGCAGAACTCGCCTGGTGGGCGGGTGTCGCTGCGGGCACTAGCGGAAGGACCGTATGGCAGCATCCACTCGATGGACTCTTACGGCACAGTGCTTCTCTTCGCCGGTGGTGTTGGTATCACCCATCAGGTGCCGTTTGTGCGCCATCTCGTCCAGGGATATGCCGAGGGTACCGTGGCAGCGCGTCGTGTGACTTTGGTTTGGATCATCCAATCTCCTGAGCACCTCGAGTGGATTCGTCCCTGGATGACTAGCATTCTGTCCATGGATCGTCGCCGGGAAGTGCTCCGCATCATGTTGTTTATCACCCGGCCGCGCAACACCAAGGAGATCCAAAGTCCCAGTGCGACCGTGCAGATGTTCCCCGGCCGACCCAACATCGATACCCTGGTGGGCATGGAGGTCGAGAACCAGATCGGAGCGATGGGCGTGCTCGTCTGCGGCAACGGTGGTCTGAGCGATGATGTGCGACGAGTATGCCGCAATCGACAGGATCGCACGCAGGTCGATTTCATCGAGGAGAGCTTCACCTGGTGAGCTCTGTCTGAGGCGGGTACGACTCTCTTAAATAAGAGGAATTCAACAATTTGGCCCCCAAGCCCAACCCCCAATGACTACGGACGCTCGCATCTGATTTGTCACGGGGGCCTTGGTACGAAATATTTACATCTTTGTTTAAAACGAGCCTGTTGTCTTGTCGACCGCCTTTTCCCTTCTTTGTGTGTGCATCGATTTCTGCCAGCGACCTTGACTCTTTTGGTCTCAGAGGGTATATACTAGTTTTGTTGTGTTCTTATGTTCGATCTGGCCGTGGGTTTGCCTCAAACTCTCTGGCTGCGTATATACTTGATTATATCACTTACCAATTTAAATTCTTTGGTCCTTTGCAATTACTCATAGAATTGCCCAACGTTGAAGATCGAAGATCGTTGACGTAGAAATGACTACTAGTCCTAGTACCGGTAACTTACCAGTAGTTAACTAGCACTGGATACCAGCAGACTGCAGTCGGTTCAAGGTTTTGTGGCATGCTGCAGGTCTCGGGATTCGGATCGGGATTCACATCGACCGAGGTCGACCAGGATCAGTTCTTGATTCGAGTCGATTCTGGAGATAGTCGACTGCATGCATATTCGATTCGAACAAGACCGACTTACAAGAAACTGGTCATATCCGAATGCCCAGTTCCGTAAACCGGCAGGGAGGCAGTTGCAGCACGTGACTGGTGGGCACTGCACTGCATAAGCTGGGATGCCCTCGAATTGGGCATCTTCTGGATCTATGCAGCCAATAAGAATAGATTTCTATAGCTTACTTGGATGTTGTTGCAGCACTGTACCTACCGTAGGTAAGGTATAAGTCCAGTACAGTCAGTAACTTACTACCGGGAATGCCTCTATCTACCCGTCGAACCGTCTGCCCAGTAAATGGGCAGGTCGAACCATTTCGTGACCTAGACGCTTAGGGATTCGGGAAAGTAAACCCTCTTCAAGGTTCTAACACCAGAAAACTGGGTAGCCTTTACAAATGGGCATAATTAATGAGTTCTGCTGAGGACATGTACCGGTGTATCTCATGTTGCGACGGAGGGGTTTGTTGACCAGCTCTGACCAGCTCGGCTTAGAAATCAAGGAGTGGGGCAAGTTCGAGCGGAAAGTTTCCCTCATTTGCTTGCTTGTGGCATGGAGTACGGATAGAATGATCACCAATCCAGTCTGTGACAAATGCCCGCCTCCCCGAGTCCGATACCACCGTATTCCATTTGTAATCCTTCTATTGCTGGTAGCTGTTCGCAGCGGCTGTTTCTGGTATGAGCGTATCGGGATCAATGGGACGGGCAGTTGGCAGGTTTGCCCCACGCTTACCAGGGAAAGATACGTTACTTTAATCGGGAAAGATGGCGTGAAGATGCACCAGTGGCATCATCATCCCCTCCTCCTTTACCTAGGTACCTAATTATCAATTCCCATTCCCATTGCCCGCCATGAGTGGGCTGTTCTATAAAGTCCCTCGGTTCTCCAACGTCTTAGCCCGGTATTCCTATCGACCTACTACCATCACTCCTAAAATCTTTCTCTCTGCCCAGTTGTTCTCTTCGTCTGCTACCGCCAAGATGAGCTCCCCCGATATCACTTTGTATACCGCTCAGACTCCCAATGGAATTAAGATCTCCATTGCATTGGAGGAGCTTGGGTAGGTTTTGTTTCTGCTTCTGTCTCCGTCAAGTCCATCGGAAGTCACAAGCTAATTGAATGGTAGCCTGCCCTACAAGGTCGAAAAGATCGATATCTCCAAGAACACCCAGAAGGAGCCGTAAGTTTGAGCCCGTCCCCTCCCCTCTCTCACCTTCTACCGGCCTTCCCTTCCCCCCCCCCCCCAAAAATCAAAGAAACCTACCACTAACCAGACCCCAAGATGGTTCCTCGAAATCAACCCCAACGGCCGCATCCCTGCCCTGACGGACACCTTCACCGACGGCCAGAAGATCTCCCTCTTCGAGTCCGGCGGCATTCTGCTGTATCTGGCCGAGCGGTACGACAAGGACTACAAGATCAGCTACCCGCGGGGCACGCGCGAGTGGTACGAGATGACCAACTGGCTGTTCTTCCAGAACGCCGGCGTCGGCCCCATGCAGGGCCAGGCCAACCACTTCGTGCGCTACGCCTCCGAGCACGTCCCCTACGGCATCAACCGCTACGTCAACGAGACCCGTCGCCTGTACGGCGTGCTGGACAAGCGGCTCAGCGAGAGCCCGTCCGGGTTCCTGGTCGGGGATCACATCTCGTTGGCGGATATCTCGCACTGGGGGTGGGTGACGTGCGCGGGCTGGTCGGGCGTCGATATCGACGAGTTCCCTCATCTGAAGGCTTGGGAGGAGCGGCTGTTGAAGCGCGAGGGGGTCGAGAAGGGTCGCCATGTGCCTTCGCCGCATACGATCAAGGAGATGATTAAGGATAAGGAGGCGGCTGAGAAGAGCATGCGCGAGACGAGGGAGTGGGTGTTGAAGGGGATGCAGGATGATGCGGCTAAGAAATAGGTCTTCCTTGGGTCTGGTTTGGGGTGGTTAGGGGGTTAGTGGATTCTGGGAGGGGGGGGGTCTCTGTAATAATGAATCAATCATGAATCTATTTTAATTCTCATTTTCTGGCTCCTTGGGATTATGGTTAAAAGTGAATGAGATATTGATGTTAAGAAGCGAGCGAGGCAAAAAAGTAATTACTGTAAGTTACTGACGTGCTGAAGCAGACCGCGGCGGGCTTAGTCACGCAACCACGTGAAGAAAGCTTTTGCCACTTTCCCCCCGGAGGGCCCTGTTTTCTGGCCTTTGTAGTTGATTCGATCCCTCCCCTCCATCTATCTCACAGAACGCAAGATCCGCAAGGACACGATCCTGCACGGGAAATCTCCACTGACCAGGTTCTGAACTGACTGACAGTGACATGGCTTGGCGCAACCAGGGAGTCACCGGCTCCAACAACGTCCCTCTGGGCCGGAGAAGGTTCGGCGGCGATGAGGCCCCAGAGGACGAGAGTCGCACCGCGACCCCGGCCTCTGCCGCTGGGGATAGCGCCTACAAGCGCGGTCGCAGCCCTGTTCGTGGTGAGTTGTTGCCCTTCCATCCACATTACATCAAGGTAAAAATACTGACGTCTCTAGCTGATCCTCCCGCGGACGGTGTCAAGAAGCGCAAGAAGCGCAACCGTTGGGGTGATGCGCAGGAGAACAAGGCCGCCGGTCTCATGGGCCTGCCCACCATGATCATGGCCAACTTCACCAACGAACAGCTGGAGGCGTATACGCTGCATCTGCGTATCGAGGAGATCAGCCAGAAGCTGCGAATCAACGATGTGGTTCCAGCCGACGGTGACAGGTTTGTCGAACTTCCACCCATCCTCTTTCTCTCAGTGCTACAGGAGTGGCTAACCGTTGTGATACTCCTATAGATCTCCCTCGCCTCCTCCCCAGTACGATAACTTTGGCAGACGTGTAAACACAAGGGAATACCGGTATCGGAAGCGTCTCGAGGATGAGCGCCACAAGCTCGTCGAGAAGGCGATGAAGACCATTCCTAACTACCACCCGCCCTCTGACTACAGACGTCCCACTAAGACCCAGGAGAAGGTCTACGTGCCAGTCAATGACTATCCAGAGATTAACTTCAGTATGATAACTAACCCTCTAACTCCTAACCGTTGCGTTGTGCTCTGTATTCCTACTTGAACCTCTGTGCTCGAGTCGGGCTTCTGATGACGACGTCGCCGCCGCGCGATGGGATTCTCTCCAGCTCGCTTCTTGCTAACCCTTGCTGCTTGATGTTGCACTCTTCTTTGCTCTTTCACCCTCAAAACAAAAACAGCTTGAACTAACACCTAGGCTTTCCGCTATCTTTTTAAAGTTGGCTTACTCATAGGTCCTCGTGGTAATACCTTGAAGAAGATGGAGACCGAGTCCGGCGCAAAGATTGCGATCCGTGGCAAGGGTTCCGTCAAGGAAGGAAAGGGTCGCTCTGACGCCGCTCATGCCAGCAACCAGGAAGAGGATCTCCACTGTCTGATCATGGCAGACACCGAGGAGAAAGTTAACAAGGCAAAGAAGCTGGTGCACAATGTCATTGAGACGGTAAGTTTTCCTTTTGCGGTTGGTTCGTGCAAGACACCGTGCTCATGGTACATTAGGCTGCCTCCATTCCCGAAGGCCAGAACGAGCTCAAGCGGAACCAGCTTCGAGAACTCGCCGCCCTCAACGGTACTCTCCGTGACGATGAGAACCAGGCTTGCCAGAACTGTAAGTCTTCTCCCAATCATCCTTGGTCCCTCTTTCTAACACAGACAGGTGGTCAAATCGGACACCGCAAGTACGACTGCCCTGAGCAGCGCAACTTCACTGCCAACATCATCTGTCGCGTCTGTGGTAACGCAGGCCACATGGCTCGCGATTGTCCTGACCGCCAAAGAGGCTCCGACTGGCGCAACGGCGGCGGCTATGGCGGCGGCGCCGGCGGTCGCAGAGCCATTGGTAGCGGCGACGCCGTCGACCGCGAGATGGAGGTAAGATCTCGTTCCTGTATTGTGATTGATCGTTACTAACTGTGACCAGCAACTTATGCAAGAACTGTCTGGCGGCGCTCCTGGAGAGAACGGCCACGTACCCCGTCGCATCGAGGCTGGACCCGATCAGGGCTACGATGACCGTGATGCGAAGCCGTGGCAGCGTGGCCCTCCTGCCAGCGATGTGGCTCCTTGGCAGCAGCGCGGCCGCGACCGTCGCGACGACTATGGACCTCGCGACCATGGCAGTGCGCCTCCCTGGGCCTCTCAAGGTCGTGGCGGCCACGGCGGTCACGGTGGCCATGGCGGCGATTACGGCTATGGCTCGCAGGGTGGCTACGGTGCCCCTGGAGCTCCACCCCCATGGCAACAAGCGCAGGCCGCCCCTCCTCCGCCCCCGGGTGGACAGGCATCGTATGGCTACGGAGGCTATCCCTCTTACCCTGGCATGGGAGCGCCCGGTGCTCCTCCTGGCTTGAGTGTGCCGCCTCCACCCCCGGGCATGCCCTCGATGTATCTTGGCAACAGTGGCAGCCCTCCCCCACCCCCTCCTGGCGAGGGACCGCCTCCTCCGGTATGTTTGCTTAACCGAGGTTGTAGGACAACTGACTAACCTGATACAGCCCCCGAGCGAGCAGCCTCCTCCCCCTCCCCCACCTGCTTAGGGCACTTGCAGAACCTGCAGGACCTTCAGATCATGACGACAAAAGCCTACTGAATTCAGCTGCTGAAATGAACCATGAGAGTTGCTTTGATTTGGGATCAAATTCGACAGGAATCCGCAGGATAGTAGGGCGGCATACGTGGCGGACGAGTCTGGATTCGACTGGACAGCCCCGCCTGCTGGTTTTATTCGTAGTCTATTAAAGTGTACTAGCTAATCAATATTATTCCTTTGTGTTTGATCCTCAAGTTTCTGGTAGTAGAGAATCTAGACAGGTGAAGTGCCGAAGAGCAAAAGCCGGAGTGACGTTTATGGGGCCGGCCCCATTGTTGATGCCTAAGGCGGAGACCTTTCTCCGCAATTTCGTGGAGAAGCTCAAATCGATCAATTTTTCCCCTTCAAGGTTGAAAGCAGTCCTCCAGATCGGAGAAGTGATCATGATTCATCAAGTCAAGTAGAGCATTGATTCTCATATCCCCTTTCCAGCCTTCCAGTCTTCTAGAGTTAAGGCTTCTTGGCCCTTTTTTTTCTCTATTTTTGGGGTCACCAAAGTTTGATCCCCCCAGAAACAGATGGAGGGACCCGCCTCTTCTTCTTCTTCTTCTTCATCATCATCATCGTACACCGCAGCCGCCGCAATGACAGGCGGGACCAACACCCCCGGGGACCAACCCAGGAGAAGTCTGGGGGATGGAGGAGGAGGATTGGGGTTGGCATCCTCCTCCCCATCTCTATCCCCAAACCTCCACTCCCATCGCAAACCATGGCAATCGCAACCGCAGTCGCAGTCCCAGTCCCGATCCCGACGCAGCTCTTCCCTCCGATCTGGGGTTGAGAGACATCCACAGCAGCAGCAGCAGCATCGCTCCAACCCCGGGGCAAGACACGACCCCCCCTCCACTTCAGCATCAGCATCAGCATCAGCATCATCATCATCATCATCCAAATGGTACCGCGTCCGCTTGTTCCGGGGCATGGTCAAGGACGTCAAGCGCCGGGCGCCGTATTATTGGAGTGATTGGACGGACGCGTGGGATTATCGCGTCGTGCCGGCGACGGTTTATATGTATTTCGCTAAGTATGTTGATTCCTTTTTGCGCGCGCGCCGGGGGGGGGGGGCGGAGTTTCAAGATGGATTTGGGACGGGGATGGGATGGATTCGAGGATGAAGAGGCTTTCGGCTAAAGACTGACCCCCCGTCGCGTTTTAGTATCCTCCCTGCATTGGCGTTCTCCCTCGACATGTTTGAGAAGACCAACCAGAGCTATGGCGTGAATGAGGTGCTGTTGGCCTCGGTGCTCGGGGCGGTGGTTTTCTCGGTCTTCGCGGCGCAGCCGTTGGTTATTGTTGGGGTTACTGGTTAGTATTGTCTTGGTTTTTTTTTTATCGTGGGGGTAGTAGGGTGAAGGGGGTTTATTGGATCTTCTTGATAATCTGCGCAGTGCTCAGCTGATCTGTGGTAGGTCCTATTACGGTGTTCAATTATACGGTTTATGATATCATCGCTTCGAGAGGCACGAATTATCTGGCGTTTATGTGCTGGATTGGCATGTAAGTCTCCCTATTCTCATTTTCTCTTTCTTGTTTGTGTTCATTTTTTCTTGTTTGTGGGGGCAAAGGCACCGTACTGACCACCCAGATGGTCCTTGATCATGCATTGGTTGCTGGCTATCACCAACGCCTGCAATGGGTTGACCTACGTGACGCGCTTCTCGTGCGACATCTTCGGCTTCTACGTCGCGTTCATCTACCTGCAGAAGGGCATCCAGGTCCTGACCAGACAATGGGGCTCCGCGGGCGAGACTTCTGCCTACCTGAGTATCATGGTCGCTTTGCTGGTGCTGATGGCGGGCTGGATCTGTGGCGAGCTGGGCAACAGCAGCCTCTTCCAGAGATTCGTGCGCAAGTTCCTGGAGGACTACGGCACTCCGTTGACCATTGTCTTCTTCACGGGCTTCGTGCACATCGGCCATATGAGGGACGTCGAGGTGGCCACTCTGCCGACCAGCAAGGCCTTCTTCCCCACCGCGGATCGTGGCTGGTTGGTCCATTTCTGGGACATCAGCGTCGGAGATGTGTTCCTGGCGATCCCGTTTGCGATCCTCCTGACGATCCTGTTCTATTTTGACCACAACGGTGAGTACGCCCCCCCCAAAATTGCGGTAGGCTAGACGTGGCTGACCACTAGACCAGTGTCCTCACTGATCGCCCAGGGAACCGAGTTCCCGCTTCGTAAACCCGCCGGGTTCCACTGGGACCTGTGGCTCCTGGGCCTCACCACCTTCGTGGCCGGTCTGCTGGGCATCCCCTTCCCCAACGGGCTGATCCCCCAGGCGCCCTTCCACACGGCCGCCCTCTGCGTGACGCGCGACGTCGCCGACGAAGACGACACCAACAAGGGCAAGGCCATCCGCATCACCGACCACGTCGTTGAGCAGCGCGTCAGCAACCTCGCCCAGGGCCTGCTCACCCTCGGCACGATGACCGGCCCGCTCCTCATCGTCGTCCACCTGATCCCGCAGGGCGTCCTCGCGGGCCTCTTCTTCATAATGGGCGTCCAGGCGCTCCAGGGCAACGGCATCACGCAGAAGCTCGTCTTCCTCGCCCAGGACCGCCGCCTCACCCCGGCCGCCAACCCGCTCAAGCGGCTCAAGCGCCGTCCCGCCATCTGGGCCTTTGTCATCGCCGAGCTGATCGGCTTCGGCGCCACCTTCGCCATCACCCAGACCATCGCGGCCATCGGCTTCCCGGTCATCATCCTGCTGCTGATCCCCGTCCGCTCGTTCCTGTTCCCGCGGTGGTTCACCGCGGAGGAGCTGGGGGTCCTCGATGGGCCGGCGGCGAGTCCGTTCACGATGGAGAGCGTGGGCGGGACGCACGGCTTGGATGATTCGTTCGGGGGCGAGGGGGCGTTGGCGGGACACGACGGTGGGCGGAGGAACTCGAAGGCCCGCGGTGGTGGGGATGCTGGTGTCTTTGATGCGAATCGGGACGAGAGTTCGTCGGAGTCCGTGGTGGGTGATGATCTGGAGAGGGGGGAGGTGTTTGAGATGCAGAGGTCGGCGGTGCGACGGAGGAGTACTACGGGCGTCAAGGATTGATGTTGTAGGTGTGTGCTTTGGGATGGCCAGAGGCTGCTCTGGTTGTTGTTCGAGTGGATGTTGGCTCGGGATAGATGTTCGTGACTTGCTTCCACAGGCCGTGAAAGTTATAAAATTTAGATTTGACCTAGTTATATATAATCCTATATCATCGCCGATATTGTGTTTGTCAACAGTTACCTGGGAGGCCTTCCACACAGGAGTGGCCAAGGTCGTATCAAGTTGGGCGAGTCCATACATTGGAAAGGACGGTAGCCAGGCCAATCGAACTGAGTGAGGGCTATAGCAGAGTAAATATAGCTCGTATCGCCAACTACCACTGGCATGCAACCCAGCCAACCCACACAAGCAGTTCACACAAGGAATGAAAACTACAAATTTCAGGATATGAGATGCTTAAGGGTTAAGGCCCTGAAGATACCAAGTCCCATCACAAAAAGAACAACCATCAATCCCAAAGGGCCGAATTGACGCATGATAGGGGCGCATGGAATTTGCTGGGCCCAACACATCCATATTTTCACAACATGAAAAAACAAAAAGAGAATCCAATGCAAAATTGGACGGTGTCAAGGCCCGAGCCGCGGATCGAACGCGGGACCTCTCGCAGATATGCTTGGGTTTGTATCCCTAAGCGAGAATCATACCACTAGACCACCCGGGCTTGATATATTTTCTGCCTGCTGTTAAAACAATATGATCCATAATGTATGCAAGAACTAGCTTTGCACCTTGCATAATAGAGTTCATCAAAGCCAAAAACCTCGCACTAACCGAACACAGTTAGCCTGACACGCCGCCCAGAGCGGTCGGCCTTTCTGCCGTCACATCGACCAAAAAAAAAGTCAAGCGCATGCTTCACATTCAATCCAACACACCAAAAACTAAAATGGCGCCCTCACAGTCCCCCGAACCTATCCCGCACGAGTCTGCCTCTAACCACTCCTCGTCTGACTCGGAGAATGAGTCCGAGTCCTCGTCCGACGAGGGCGGCGTCACCCTCGATACAATTCAAAAACAGCAGCGCGCCCCCAAGAGAAGACGTCTCTCGGACTCGTCGACCGACTCCTACATCGCCGCCCCGCCGCCGGCACCCTTGCCCACGCTTTCCCGCATCAAGCGCAAGGAGGACGTCGCCAGGGAGGCCGCCACCAAGGCAACAGCGGACGCGAACCCGGTGCTCATCAAGGATGCGCTGGCGGCGGGGCTCGAGGATGCGCGGTCCTCGTTCACCGACCTGAAGGTGGCGCCGTGGCTGGTGGGCTCGCTGACGACGATGGCGGTGCGCCGGCCCACGGCGATCCAGAAGGCGTGTATCCCCGAGATCCTGGCCGGGCGGGATTGTATCGGAGGCAGTCGCACGGGTTCCGGTAAGACGATTGCGTTCGCGGTGCCGATGCTGCAGAAGTGGGCGGAGGATCCGTTTGGAATCTTTGGGTTGGTGCTTACGCCGACGAGGTGGGTCTATCCTTTCCCCGTCAGATGGACAGAAAGAAGGAAGAAGGACAGAAAGACAGACAGACAGACAGACAGAAAGAAAGAAAGGCAATGCTAACTTTTCGAGGGCAGAGAACTGGCCCTCCAAATCTACGAGCAAATCAAAGCCCTCTCCGCGCCGCAGAGCATGAAACCCCTCCTCATCACCGGCGGCACCGACATGCGCTCGCAGGCGCTGGCCCTGTCGCAGCGCCCCCACGTGGTCATCGCCACCCCCGGCCGGCTGGCGGACCACATCCACACCTCGGGCGCGGACACCATCCGCGGCCTGTCGCGGGTCCGCATGGTCATCCTGGACGAAGCCGATCGCCTCCTCTCCCCCGGGCAAGGGTCCATGCTCCCGGACGTGGAGACCTGCCTCAGCGCGGTGCCATCGGCCGCCGACCGGCAAACGCTGCTATTCACCGCGACCCTGACCCCGGAAGTGCGGGCGCTCCAGTCCATGTCTTCATCTTCCTCATCATCAACGAAACCCCCCATCTTCGTCACCGAAATCACCTCCGCCAACAAGTCCACCATCCCGCCGACCCTCCACCAGACCTACCTCCAAGTCCCGCTGACCCACCGCGAAGCCTTCCTGCATGTCCTCCTCAGCACTGACGCCAACGCGACCAAACCCGCCATCATCTTCACGAACACCACCGCCACCGCCGACCTGCTGGAGCGCATGCTCCGCCGCCTGGGCCACCGCACCACCTCCCTGCACAGCCGGCTCCCGCAGAGCGAGCGCAACGCCAACCTCGCGCGGTTTCGCGCCGCCGCGGCGCGCATCCTCGTCGCCACGGACGTCGCCTCCCGTGGACTGGATATCCCCTCGGTCGAGATGGTCGTCAACTACGACGTGCCCCGGAATCCGGATGACTATGTGCACCGTGTCGGTCGTACGGCGCGTGCGGGCCGCAAAGGTGAGAGTGTCACGCTCGTCGGGCAGAGGGATGTGGCGCTTGTGCTTGCCATTGAGGAGCGGGTGGGGAGGAAGATGGTCGAGTGGGAGGAGGAGGGCGTGAGTGTGGAGACGAGGGTGGTTAGGGACGGGGTGTTGAAGGTGGTCGGCGAGGCGAAGCGCGAGGCTGCCGGCGAGATGGATGAGGGGAGGGATGTGTTGGGGAGGAGGAGGGTGAAGTTGAAGAAGGTGAGGTAGGGGGGTTTTCTGTTGCTAGGTTCCGTTGTGGAAATATGGGATGCGCCGGGGATTGTACTGTACATAACTACATAGTCTTAAGAAGATTTTGGGAAGCCGGTTCTTATGGCATTGCTTTAGGTTGAGTTTGGCTAGGAACAGTAGATGGGATTGGCTCCTGTTGGGCTGATTGCGTAAACACTCGGTAGAGCGAAGCGAAATTCGTCGTGCACAGTTCGACTGCCTACGGTGTCTGAAGATGTACATGTCGGTCTCTTCTGACCACACATCCTCGTCCTCCGAGCATTATCTAAGAAGGCTCCTTAGAAACCATGCATATAATCCTGCATTATGCAGCAGACTACTGGTAGCAATACTATAAAGAGCCCTGCGATGCTCCTGAGGCCATCGGTCCTGGTGTATACGCAGACATGGTACAATACACGAGTAGCTCTAGGGCGACTACACTGCCTAGCTCCCATGGGATTGAATCGCTCCTGGAGAAATCGGACGGCCACAGTACGCGTGGCGTGGTCGAGAGAAGAACATATCGATCTAGTCCTGATTGTTGATGACCAGGTATAATGATCAGACCGCGGGGCTGGACGGGACTCAAGACGCCTGATATTTCTGGGGAATGTCGGGCCTTGGAGAGCATGTCGACTACCAAGGTCACTGAGTTGCAGGCTGCAGTATGGACGAAGATGTGCTGCATGACTATGTATGCAAAGACCAAGGTCCTCGACGCGCGCTGAGGGCGATCTCCAACGCGGTCGAGCCACATCCATCAGTCGTATATTGTCTAAAGAAACGATTGACGATTCAAGAAAAAGTCATACTCAATAACTTAGCAATTATCCCATTGCCAAGGACCCCATAGTTGAGTGGACACCCACCAACCTCCTTCTCGACGCGTGGGGGGCACGCTACTAAAGAGGGTAGAGGGTGTACTGTTAGTTAATTGAAGTTGGGTTTGGATTAGTTTAGTTTGGCCGGCAAGGAGACGAGCGAGCGAGCGACTCGGACGCCGACGCGGATTGACCACCACACGCGCGCCGAACCCACCTCCACCTACCTTACGCTCCGGACATCCTCTTTCTCCTCCCCCTCCCCCTCAAAAGGCCATTGAGTCTTCTGACCGAGTCCAGTTTCCTTGTCTTGACACTCTCCTTGCTTGCCATTCCTCTGGAAACCCGGTTCGTCCTCAAAAGTTTGGGTGTGCTGTACTGTACAAGTTCCAGCACGTGTTGGTAGTTCTCGCTCTCTCCTGGTCCGAACTACTTGAACGGAGCTACTACTGGAGTACAACACGTCCACCACACACAAACACTTGCTCTTCTTGATTTTCTTTTTTTTCCCCTACCATCCCCTCTTGTGGTTCTCCTCTAGTACTTCTATCAGGAGTACTCTCTCTCTCTCTCTCCCTCTCCACCCCACTCACCATGCATTCCACCGTATCAGCACATACCAGCCCTGTCAAGGACGGCAGGCGGATTCTCGGCGAGAAGACCGTCAACGCGTGCCTGTCCCCCGCCCGCCATCGCCACGCCGCCTCCCTCTCGCCGGTGAAACGTCCATTCCTGGAGACACCGTCGCTCACCTCTCCGTCGAAAAAGCTTCTTCCGTCGCCGCTGTTTGCCGGTCAGAAACGCTCCATTGACCAAGTCGAGGGCCACCGCGAGCATGAGAGCAGTGCCCGCGAGCGCGCGCCGGTCCAGGCACCGGCACCGGCACCAGCAGCAGCAGCAGCCCCAATCCACGCGCAAGTTGAGTCGACGACGAAGTCCCCAGCAATTGCAGCAGATGAACATGTCAGTAAACGCCATAATCCTTTTCCGAAATTCATGTATACGTTACTAACATCCAGTCGCGTGCTCAGATCCTATCCGACGCGACACAACAACCCATTATTCCTGATCTAGAAACACAACAACAACAACAAAAACAAAACGAAGTCGAACCACAACAGCAGCAACAACAACAACAACAACAACAACTACCACCCCCGCCTCAACCCAGCGAACTCCCAGCACAAACTCAACCCACCTCCACGCGAGCAGTCCTCTCCGACCCAGCGACGCGCAAACGCTTTATTCAGGAAGTACGTGCCCCCCAAAAGCGCAACAAACCACCCAGACCCCCAACCCCAAATAAACATGCGAACTGACCCCCAAAACAGAAAGCAACCCTCCTCCGCACCCGCCTCCAAACCGCCATGCGTCACGTCCGCGACCCGCAATTCGACCGCCGCCTCTCCGAGCTCGAAGCCCACAGCCGGAAATGTCCCCGACTGACCACCGCCGTCGTCCCCGGATCCCAAACCCCCGCGCCAAAAGACATAACACGTATGGCGGCGGCTGCTGCAGCAGCTGCAGCTGATCCCAAGACCCCGGTCCCGTTCATCACCACCACCCCGTCGAATCTGCAACAACCCGAGCACACTACATCACCTGACAACGACAACAACAACCACGCGTCGGGGCTATCGTCGCCGCCGCTCTCAACAGGGAATGACGCTGCGTCTGCGCTGGAGGAGGATGATGATGATGATGATGATCCGATGAAAACCCCGACGCAGAAGATGTATCGTCATACCACAGGAACAGGGAACGAAGCCTCGCCGATGATGCAGTTGAGTAGTCCGCCTGCGACGGTGTCGCGACGGAGAACTGGGACGGGGATGGGGACCGTGCCCGAGGAGTCGGACGTTGAAGAGGACGGAGTGGGTCTGCCGGACACGCAGAGGCGGTTATCGCAGAAGGGGGATGCGGTGGATGGGTTGTTGAAGTTGATGGGGACGGCGGAGCAGCAGCAGCAGCAGGCCGAGAAAGCAGAGGTGCGGACGGGGTGATTTCATTGACGGCATGTTGTGCTTGCTTATTGCGCCCCGCGTCAACTGTGGCATGTGGGGATAGAATCCCTCTCGAGGATAGCGTCATGCCTGTTTGTCGCCGCTCCGCCGGATATGATCTACCCAGTCAAGCTTGATAGATTAGGGCAATCGCGGCTCTTGCCTAGGACGGAGAGATGAGGCTCTGGATCAAATGCCATGCATGTATTGTATATAGAACAAGGGGAACTTAGAGCTATCCGGATGGTAGAGATGGATGGCAGGGCATGCGAGAGAGAGTCAATTCAATCATGATACCCTTCCTACTTTCACCTTCCTGGTATACTGTTCTCGACTACTAGGTCTTTGCAATTGAATCATGCTAATTGCGGAGATGCATAAGTAGGTATTTTCGAGAGTGATCCAGCCATTGATGAGGCAGCACTAGTCTGCACCAGGGACTATAGGTAGTGAGTTGTTGCTGGTTGCCCGGTTGCCATTGCACCAGATCACTAGAGTTGGCATTCCCCTCCTACAGTAGGAAATAAGATCAGTTGGTACTTCGTACCGTTGTGCTAGTCCGTTCCACCCGTGGGTATGCATCTAATTAGGGCATGTTGCATCTTTGCTCATTTCGCTGCTCGCAGTGGAGAGAGCAACCTACACGAGCCTGGAGTCGAAAAAATTGTTGTTTAGTCGGAAACCTGATCTGGGGTTTTAGTTCGTGATTACTGTGATCAATCCACCATTTCTGGCTTTTTTGTTGGCTTAAACTAAGGACAGTACATGAGGGGCATGTTGTGCTAAGCTTTGTCGGTGAGCCCTAAGGTAACGGGGCCAGCTGCCGCCTCAGGGCACCTCAGGTGGAACGCATGATTACGCGATTAAGCTTATGGACGAGAGGCGACTTTTGCAGGGTCATGGAGTAGGGGTATACAAGATGGATAGGGTTTAACACGTCAGCCACAAATCAGGTACAGACTGTACGTACATGTGATCTTTACCAGTACTAGGCAAGTGGACGGGGCTCGCAAGAGCCATTTCAGTATACTAATGGGAGGAACTTGACTCAAGGGCATTAATGATTAGATATGCTATCTTTATCATCATTGACTTCGATACTGTAAAATGCCCAGGCTGTGAGCAGGCAATGGAAAAAGCAGCCACGGATTACCTCAGCTCCATCCCTCCACCTCAGCTTTCCCCGCATTTCCCCCTTCCTCCAGCTCTGGTTCTTCTTCTCGAGCTTCTAGAATCCTTTACTCAGTTCATTGTCCCCAACTATTGTCATCGAGAATCTGTGACTCTGTGTAACACTCCCAAGCACCTTTCTAGTCCCACAGCTTTGTCGATCCTTACTATTTATACCTCCCCCGCAGATCTGTCAGTGGACGGGGCGGATTGATTGCATCATCATCGGAACTGCTGTAACATCTGATCCATCCCTGAACCTCGCGGCATCCTTCTTTCATCTCCCAGCTGCGGTCAGATGGCATCGCTACTCTTACATTCCTGAGCACGTCAATATCATTATTCTCGTTGGAACTGGCCAATTCGTAGCAGTGTCTCGACATGCGCCTCTCCCTTGTACTCATAGCCGCCCTTCAGGCGACTGTGAGTATCGCATCCAGCTTGACCCCTCCGGTTCTGCCCCTGATCGTGCGAAATCCGTATCTCAGCACCTGGCTGGGCAATGCTCGAGATGAACCCTGGTCTAAATGGCCCATCTTCTACACGGGGGAGGAGCTGGGTTTGTCCCTCATGGCCCAGGTCCCCAGCACAGGCACTGTGTATCCTTTGCTCGGCAAGCCTCATGAATCAGTGTCGGGGTAGGTCATCGTCGCCCCGAGGACGAATTCGATTATTTTGCTAATGGTTCACTCTACAGTGTTTTGCAGATCGAGTATCCTACCTACCTTGGAGCCAATTACGACGCGTCCACCACCAATTTGACCTACCGTATCAACTCCGCAACTACCGCGGCCCATCACCAGCTCGATATCACCGTATCCTTTCTTTCTCCTATCACCCCTACGTCGACTCTGCGGCAGTCGATTCCCGCCTCCTACGTGTCAATTCACGTGCATGGCAACGCAAGCGTAAATGTCTATATGGATATCAACGGACGCTGGGTGAGCGGAGACGCGGGTAGCCAGCTCACCTGGCAATACGATGGATATGGCTCCGAGGAGAGCAAGCCAAGCTTACGCAGATGGCGTCTCCAGAGGAAGTCTGAGTTGCTACTGTCAGAGATCCGGGATCGTGCGGAATGGGGGACTTTACATTTTACCGGACCGGCTGTGCGTCTTCAGACCCCCATTGAAGGCGGAATTCATCGTGGCTAATGTGCCGACCAGGGCGTCCAATATCAATCCGGAGAGGCATCGGCCGTGAGAAGCTTATTCGCAACCCAGGGTGTCCTGGAAAACATCAACGACGACGCCTTCCGCGCCATTGGCGACCGTGAGCCGGTCTTTGCATTCTCCAAATCTTTCGTCTTTTCCCCCAAGGATGGCCACAGGAGTGACAGCGTGACCTTCACCCTTGCATTGACCCAAGATCCAGTCGTGCAGTATGCTTCAGCGCGCGGGCTGACCCTGATGCGACCCCTCTGGGAGTCGTGGTTCCCCAGTGTCGAGGCATTGCTGAGCTTCCACTACAGTGACTATGCTCATGCAAGCCTCCTGGCTGCGAACTACTCCGCCCAGCTCGCTCAGGATGCCTATCAGTCGGGTGCGCATGATTATGTGGATATCGTCGCGCTCTCCGCGCGCCAGGTCATGGGAGCAACCACTTTCGCGGGGACTCCCGACGATCCCATCCTGTTCTTGAAGGAGATCTCCTCGAACGGCAATTTCCAGACCATCGATGTCATCTTCCCGGCTTTCCCCTTCTTCTTGTACACCAACCCGCGGTGGCTGGCGTACCTGCTGGAGCCGTTGATTGAGCACATGCTGAGTGGACAATATCCAAACACGTACGCCATGCACGATCTGGGGACGCATTTCCCCAATGCCACCGGTCACCCGGACGGAAATGACGAATACATGCCTGTGGAGGAATGTGGTAACATCCTCATCATGGGCCTGGCAATTGTCAACTCCCTTCGCTACTCGGAGGATACTGCTGCGACATCCATCTGGTCGGCGCAGGGTGCATCTCCCGAGTTGCCCGAGGAGACTCATGGCAAATTCCCTCTGGTCAATCTGCAGATGTTCGGCGGCATCGATCACCAAGATGGCAGATGGGGCGGTGGCACGCAAGGCGAGCACTTGGCTGAGAGATGGGTCCAACGCAGTTATCGACTCTGGGATCAGTGGACAGGTTACTTGGTGGAGTTCTCCCTCGAGCCCGCCAACCAACGTAAGTCATACCTTCGTGACAGTAACCAGGCAGCGAACTGACACCACCACAGTGTCCACGGACGACTTTGCCGGCTGGCTTGCTCTGCAGACCAACCTGGCCTTGAAGGGTATCATCGGCATCAATGCGATGAGTAAATTGGCCGAGGTGGCGGGCTACCACACCGATGTCACTTATTACAAGGTAGGTCATCGATTTTCAGCTCTCGAACCCGGCTTGAGCTGATCAACCCAGAACATCTCGGATACCTACATCGCCAAGTGGGAGGAATACGGCATGTCGCGCGACCAGACGCACGCCAAGCTCGCCTACGACTGGTATGGATCCTGGACCACGATCTACAACCTCTACGCCGACGCGCAGCTCTGCTTCCACCTGGACGGCACCGACAACTCTCCCGACTCCGTTCCAGTCCACAACATCGGCCAAAAGCCACTCACCCCCGCCCCTCCACTGACCCCCAAAAGAAAGCACGGCTTCGTCCCGCGCCACATCTACCAGCGCCAATCGATCTGGTACCACAACGTGCGGCAGAAGTACGGCCTGCCGCTCGACAGCCGCCACCTGTACACCAAGACGGACTGGGAGTTCTTCGCCATGGCGGTCGCCGGCGAGGAGGTGCGCCGCGAGATCCTCGAGTCCGTCGCCCGCTGGGTCAACGAGACCGTCACCGACCTCCCCTTCACCGACTTGCACAACACCGAGGGCCGCGGCGAGTTCCCCGGCCCCAACTTCTACGCCCGCCCCGTCGTCGGCGGCCACTTCGCCTTCCTGGCCCTCCAGCGCGCCTGCGGCGGGCGGGCGAGGGAGGGCCTGGCCTTTTTGGATGGCGTCGCAGACCCGGAGGGCACGTTGGCTGCGTGGGAGGCCGCCGCGGCGGAAGCGGTGGAGCAGCTCGCTGGCTATAGCCCTGAGAACACGGAGCTGTAGCCCAACCCAGTACTCCGTAGTCTGGGTTCTTTTTGTGCTACTATCTCCCAGGTATATATACGCAGCGCCGTGAGGTGATTCCTTGGCTGCTAGTTGGGTAGGAAGGAAGTAGGGACCGTAGCCCTAGCCCTCTCTCTCTCTCTCTCTCTCTCTAGACAATTGAATTGAATCTCAAATCTCCCTACCGTACCACCCACTCTGGACACCTCTTTTGTCCTAGATAGTTGGTTAAGGCTTTTCAAGTAGGCCAATCTCTCCCCCCTTACCTATCTGTAAAGTCAGATTCCCACCAGGGGAAGGGGGGGGGGGGTGGGGGGCATAGTACACGTGCCGACTTATGAGGATGGTAGGATGGTAGGATGGTATGATAGTAGACTAGTAGACCTAGCATAGTAGAATAGCGAACAAGTTATTAATCCGGTCAACAGGAATAATCCTCTTGCACACTGTGTCTACAATCTACACTATAAGTTACTAGATAGACAGAAACTATACGTACTGCTCCCAGGTCCCAGGTCCCAGGTCCCAGAATCACAAACCATTCTATCTGCCTGCCTGCCTGCCACCTACAAACCTCGTTCATCTGCATATCAAATGACCGACTGACTGGCTGAACAGAGGGGGGTGGGGGGAGGGGGGGCTCGGGGTGCTGCGCCGCGAGAGAGAGCGAAGATGCAGCAAAACACCCTATGCAAGGTATACAAGTACAGTACTTGGTGCATTGCCATTACCGGGCAATGGGCAGGCAGATCAAGAAACTGAATTCCGCGATGGCTGGTTCGAGCGACCGAGCGATCGAGCGATCGAGCGGGAATACCAAGCTTTTTTTGTGCATTGGGAGGAGGAGACCAAGTACGAGATATACATGTCCAGCCGTTGAGATTACAGGATGCATTACTCCAAGGCAAATACGGAGCACACTGCGAGATTCTTGTTGCATATGGGCGAAAATCTTCTCATTTTTTGGGGGAGATATTTTTGGAAAATCATATGCAGCGGTCTCGTACTTGCATAATAGGTGGCGATCAGATTGGCTTTGCTCTCAAGACACGCGATCAAGCCCCGGACAAAAGGGAAGCTAACTGCGCACGGAAAAGACAAGACGGTCCGACTACCTTAGGCATCCTGAAGTGGTTCAACGGGTGGGGAAGAGGTTTTCCTGCGGGATAGGGCTGGAAAGGACGAGGGGGAGAAAAGGATTAAGATAAATTAACGGAACACATCGTGTCATTTGTGAGCGAGTTAATGGAAAAAAATTTTCGTTTTTTTGGAACCGGGCAGATGGGGGGGGTGAGTTATTTAGTTAAAATAAAACACACGCGCACACACACGCAAGATTTCTTTCGACATGGGGACATGACGGTGTTTGGGGTTAGGCATGAACACATTTATTTGCCACCAAGGCTGGGGAAGTTCTTCTCGTCGACGGTGACGGAAGCGCCGCTGGTAGCAGCACCGCTGGGGCGGGGAGCGTTGGTGTTGTTACCACCACGGCCGCCGCGGCCGCCGCGAGCACCACCGCGGGCACCACGGCCACGGGGGCCGTTGGCACCTCCGCGGGGGGCCTCGACGAAGCGCATGTCAACCTCGAGGACGTTCTTCTCCTTGCGCTGCTTCTCGCGCTTGGACTTCTCCTCCTTGCCCTTGATGTAAGCCTCCTCCTCCTCGCGGGGCTTGAGCTCCTTGGCGGCGGCCCACTTCTTGTCGAGCTTGGAGCCCTCGTTGGCGGCACGGACGGGCTTGGCGCTCAGGTCCTCCTGGGCGGCCTTCTCGGCAAGGTAGTCGGCGAAGGACTTGGACTTGTCGGCGGGCTCCTCCTCGGCGGCGGGAGTCTGGGGCTCGTTCTCGTCCTTGTGGGCGATGTCCTCTCCGGCCTTCTCATCGTCCCAGGTCTTGTCACCGCTCTGGTTACCCCAGCCCTGGTTCACCTGCTTGCGGGTGTCGCTACAGAACGCATCAAGTTAGTTTTCTGTGTGATCCTGTTCTCCGCCCGAATGTGGAACTTTCAAGTGAGGCGGATCGCTGGCGGCGGTGGGTGAAACAAAATGGTTGCTTACGTCTGGCCGGTGCGGGACTGGCGGTCGTGGCGGACACGCTCACCACGCTCACCACGAGCGCGGAAACCGTGGCGCTGGCCCTCCTTGGGGTCCTCGGTGGCCTTCTCGCGGTTGTTGGTGCGGCCGGCGTTGCGGTCGCGGAAAGCTATCCGATCGGAGTGTCAGCCGGGAGGGGCGGGGTTGCTGCGGATTGTGAGACATGGTCATAGAACGTACCGGCCTCGTTGCCAGTGGCACGGTTGCCGCGGCGAGCGTTGTTGTTCTCGGCACGGGGCTGAGTGCTGGGAGCTTCCTTGGGAGCATCGCGCTTGCCAACACGGGGAGCAGGTCTGTCTACAGCCCTCGTGGGAGGCTCAGGCTCTCTGTTGGGGTCCAATTCAGGATCATTGCCTGTAGTAGCGAGGCGCAAGAGCACGCAAGAGGTTAGAGATTGATCGCTTCTTTCATTATGCATCAACAGATGGGCAGGTGGGTGGGATGAGATGGATGGCAATGCGGATGGATCCGCTAGTCGCGCAAGGGTATGATGTATGTTGCAAGTGAAAGCAGCACAAACGAGGGTGGAATTGAGGAAGCAGCAGGAAGAGGGCGAGAATTACCAAGAAGCTCGTAGAGGTTCTATTTATCACGAAAAAGATATGTTAGCTGGGGGACATGTTTGATCCTCGATGGGACGTGGTGAGTTCTTGGTGTTGGGCGCTGGGCAACCGAGTTGGACCGAAAGCAACCTCGTCAAATCCCTCGCTCACAACCCCGCTCGCTCGCTCGCTTCCCACTCAGAAAGACCTTCCCAGCTCAATTTGGCGGCTCAGGACCTCGCGAGACGAGCGGATTGACGCGGAATTTGGTGGTGCTGGTTCCCAATCGGCGCGGTAAACGATAGATGACGATGGAGTGTCGCGAGAAGTCCTCCTCCTCCCCTCGACGTAGGAAAAAAAAATACAACGCACCTTGGACCGGACGTCCGCCATGACGCCTGGTTTTATGCGGGGCCTTCCGGGGGAAGGCTTTGGTCTATCACAACAATTCGGGTCCGACTGAACGGGTGACGGATGGTCGACACAGGCAGAAACCTAGACGACAGTAGGTATCCGGCCTCTCCTTTGGGGATGGGAAATGGGATAGGGGAGATAGAGGGATAGTGGTTGGAGTGAAGGGGTTGACTGACAGTACGGTGGATGGAGGCAACGTTTGTGGTTGCACTCGCCCAATCCGGTAAGGTGCGGATTGCTGCTAAGCGAATTCGGCAATGAGCACCATGATTGGTCGAGAGGAGCTAGGGCTTAGGGTAAACGGCCAGCGGATGACGCCCTGATGATGCTCAGTGATCACCTGCAAGAAGAGCTTCAAGGTTCTAGGTAAGGTAGGTTCCCAGCAGCATACGAGCTGCAGTCGATGACCGTTGCTGAGCCCATTGTTCGCTGCCAATCTGTCATCATTATTGCTGACAGGGTGAGGCATATTCATCTACTCGGGGTGGTGGGAGGCTGGAAGCTGCTATCCAGGCTGGTTTCCTCCAAGTAAGCGAAAAGAGCTCCTCCCGCCAACGGAGCACTGTAGATAGCACCCTCTCTAGTCTATCTATAGCAATGATTGAACCCCCTCTGCTCCCCAGATATTCATCATTGGATACAATGTCCCCAGTCTCTCGACTAGTGATCCTGCACAGAACGAATTGAAACCGTCCACTATTCCGCTTCTGTATGCTCGTGCTCAATTTGCTCTGCCATTGGGTATTGCTGGCTGGGCAATGCTGTCATTGTCCGACGCGGGCAAATCACGTGACATTCCGCCCATGTGACCCCGAGCTCATCTACAATTCATGACGCACTCAGGGCGCTGGACATAACTCGCTATTAAGCAGATCTCACTTGGAACCATTATCAAATATGTTCATAAGAGCTGGGAGATGGCCCCGATGCAACTGCTCGGCGAGCCGATCATGCATATATAACGAGCTAAATATAGACCAAGAATAGACATGCCTCACATGAATCACTTTCTTTCGACGCTGCTTTTTTTTGAGAAGAGAAAAAGTCACACAGAATACCGACCGCGGCATCAAAACGTCAGAAACAGCAGTGAAACATCAAATCATATGGTATCAACCGCAAAACGCCAGGCAATGCTCCGAAGTTTCAACTTTTGTCTTCCAGTCATAAAGGTGCTCGGGGGCACAGCCAGGGAAAGAAGCCTGACTCCGTCCTCGCGAACATCACCCGCAGATGAGAAGTCGCACACATGCAACGCATGGAAAGAAGCAAACATAGGAAACAGGAACTCAATGACGCGTATTATTTTGTTCGTAGCTAAAGGGGGTTTGGAAGTGCATGCTGGCACTGAGCCCGAACGGATCGGCATCCAGCATGGGCTCATAGTTGCCCAAGATATGATTGGAGGAGGTGGTCGGGGCGTTGTTGGTGCCATACGCGCCGTTGGTCCCTTCAGCAGCATGCGGGTGGTATTGATTGAGACCATGCTGTCCCATCGGATGGGCGCCCGGAGCCACGGATCCCGGGTTGTTGTAGCCGGAGACATAGGACGAGGCCCCGACAGCCGACTCATGCTCGTCATCGATCATGTCTGCCTGGGCATCATATTCTTGTTCTATGGACGGTTAGTGCCAAGTTGACAAACTCATAAGCAGATATATCTTACCTAGTTGATCGTAGTGCTTCTGGAAAGGAGATGGATAGTAGGCCGAAGGAACACGAGAAGCACGAGGGCCCGCAGCACTGGGGAGAGCAGACTTTGGCTCCGCCGTATCTGGCTGACCGATACTCATTGGAGGGGTCGTCTGGCTGAGGTTCCGCGAGTGGGCAATCATGTGCGAACGTTGAGTGTGCGGATCCACCCCAGCCGGAGACATCGCACCTTGGAAGGGGAAGGCGGGCGACTTGGCATGGGATGGGGAGGAGGCATGCGAAGGAGGCGTGGCCTGATACTGGGGCGAGGGAATGCCGTATGCGCCATCGCGATGCTGAGACATGCCAAAAGGTTCTTTGGGGGCGATGCCTTGGGGATGCCTTTGAGCGGAGTTGCGATTGACAGCAGCGCGCTCCAGGGCGGAGGGCGGCTTGGTTGTCATCAGGTTGGGCTTCGCCGGAGCCGTACCAGGGGCCCCAGCCTTGAGTCGCAGTTCAGCTTGGACATCAATGCCTATGAGGGGTCAGCATGGCTGAGACAAGGATAACTTTATCGGGAGATTGGATGCATAGATAAGGACACCGACCCTTTTCGAGAAGGATACGTTCCAGTAAGGAGTTCTTATATCGCAACATCAAGCACTCATCGGCTGCGGTGCGATGGTTCTGTTGCAGCGTCTGAAGAGACTCCTCATTGCGCTTGATAGTTGATTCAAGCTGACGAATGTATTCTGTGCGACGCTCCCGGAATGCAGCCTGGGCCTGGCGGTTGCGTTGCTTTCGCTCTTCCGAGGTGGCGTAGATCTGATAAGGGTCGGGGGTCAGTCTAGTGAAGCTAAAATGCAGCAAGATAAGAAAGAAGGAATCAGGAACGAACAAGGGGGGTAAGAATGAGATAAAGCAGGTGGAAGGGGAGAGTAGGTGCATTGAAAGATAAAGCAGGAGGGCGAGGGAGGGATCTGACAGGACGATAAGGGACAGCAGGGAAAGGTGATGATAATGAGAAATGATAATCGTGCGGGGCCCCGGACTGGCACACAGGGTCACCTCCCGCCCAAACCCAACCCAGAGAGATAAGAGATGAACCAGAGGGGGGGAACTCGAAAATTATAAGAAGCGAGCAAAGGGACTTCGTCTCTCAGAAGATCAGATCAGTTTTCTTACGTACAGGCTTTCTCCCACCCTTTCGCTTTTGTGTCTGGGCCACATCCTGGGTTAAGATCTCGCCATCCGCCTCAGGCGTGGACACTGCCGAACTGATTGAACCCTCAGGCATCGGCTCTGACTTGGGAATGACCGGATCCGTGGCCGGTTCATTTTGAAGAGGATGACTGGTGGTCTCGACCATAGAGACCATTGGGATTCTAAAGGGAAAAGGGGGGGAAGGACTTCTGATGTCTTGTCCCCCTCTTCCGTGAAATGATTCTTTGCCTGGATGGAAATTGCCTTGAGGGTTTGGGGGGAGGGGAAAGGAAATGGGAAGATTTCCTTGGATAGCGATGATGTGCCCCCCTTGCGTTCTTGCGTGAGTTGGTGGTGGGAATTTGATGGTGGTATTGGATGAGTCACCCAACAGAATCCGGGGTTTGGCTGATACAACCTAAAAAGCCAAAGGAGGGGAAAAGAGGAGAAAAAAAAGAGGGGAAACTTTTAGATAATGAAAAAAAGAGTCCCCCCGGAAAGAGAACAGGGCAGATGACAGATCGAAGATCAGATACGTCTCAGGGACGAACCAACAAACTTTGGCCTGCTTCACACTTCACAGAGACACGATGTTCGCCAAAGCTGGGGTAAACGCGGTGGAGGCGTTTTAAGATTAGATGAGATAATGGGGATGTCTCAATGAGGTAAAACACGTCAGTGTTTAAACCACTTGATAGGGAAGAAGATTGATCCCGGCGGGGAAGGGCTGGGCTGCTGCTGCGAGATAGTAGTTCAGACGCAGCAAACGCGCGGATGAGCGGCAATTGGGGGGGAGGAGGGGGGGGGGAACGTGCGAACTCAGGCTGAGGGTCGCAGGGAGTCCGGCGGAGCAAGTGACATAAAAGAAATTGGGAACAGTGGTGAGAGATAGCCAGCGAGCATCGGCAGGCAGAAAGACGTGGTGGGAGGAAGGAGAAAGTGGGAAAGGGCGAGAGGGTGGGAAGATGTGAGGTAAAATTATTTACTAACAAGAACGGGGTAGACCTTAAGAGGGCAAAGCATAAGAGCGAGACTAGTAAGTAGTCAGGGAAAATTTGGAGCAGAAGGAAGGGAACAGAAGGCGTGGAAGGATTAGTATTGGAAGGAAGAAAAGGAAAATGTGAAAAGAGAAAATAGAAATAAAAAAACTCTCTCATCATCTCATCTGATCATCATCATCATTATTATTTTTACTTCTACTCATTCCTTCCCCTCTCTTTCCTCTTTACTTCCATCTCCTGACTCTATAAACTGCGTTCCTTCTTTCCACTGTAAAAATTTTCACTTTCTCTTGCTCTCTGACACTCGCCTCGTCAAAATTCCCTTTGGGGGAATCCAGACTAATCAGTGCGACTGGCCTTTCCAGGGGAAGGAGGGCGACGAGAAAAAAAAGTGAAAAAAAACCAGGAACAGACGATCCAATCAATTCTGACCCCCCTCTCAATCCCACTCGGAGGGGTTTGCGCTGAGAGACAATATCGACTGGGTTGGTGGTTTCGCCGCTTCCACAAAATCTGGTCGGGCCTTGTCTGACGGCCACCAAGTGGATAGGAATGGGCTTCCGTTCTACTACTGGGGACTTTGTTTCAAAGCGTTCTCATAAATGATTGGTAACCTCCTTTGAAATGGAGAACTATACCTACGAACTACCACTACGACATGCTCAATCCACGCAGGAGAGGGGAAACTTCTTCCCTTGTTGCTGCGCTCTGCTCACTTCTACCTACTGACTAGCTAAGGTGATCTCGGAATAACTGGCAGCATGTTCGCTCCTTCACCCTCAGTGGCTGGCAGCGGCACCATTTCCCAAGAGAGGGAGGAAGTATCCACCGCGCGAGGTTTCGACCCAGCCGAAGATCCGCCCAAGGTACGGACGGAGTACGCCAGGCGGCCAGACATTCAAGCGAGCACACCCAGAAAGGACAGAGAGGCAGCAGACAAGAGCCAGCAACCTGCGCAGCAGCGAAGTCCAGATCGTCCTCTGACTGGCCACCAGCTCGTCCGCCCTGCCCCATGCAGGGCAACGGGTGGAGAGGGGGGGAGGAAGGAGAACGTGTCGCGCGGTCTGACGCTTTGGATCGCGGTCCGCGGAACCTGGGATGATGCATCAATGCATTTGTTCGAATGTTCCATGCGCTCCGTCGTCATCCGGTTGTTCGTCACACTGGAGATAAATGTGTAGTTTGTCTGTAGGTAGGATCTGTTTTTTTTTTTTTTTTTTTTTTTTTTTGCTTCTTTCGAGGTCAGAGGGTCGTATCCCCTACAGGCCGTCTGCCTTCTGACAGACCATGATGGTTGTTGACTGGGATGAGGGGGGAGGAGAAGAGGGGGGAAGTTCTTTTCCCTCTGGTCCACAGCCCGCGGAGATGTTCCGGCCGGGCAACAAGAGCACGACGACCACATTCAATAACCAGTGGATGATGGTGGTCCGGCCAGAATTTTTCGTGGGTTCCGTTGGGGCGGAATTCTTGTCCTCTTGCGTCGACCCTCCTCCCCTCACATCTCTCTCCTGCTTTGCATGCTTTGCAGTGACTGTGGTCTGTACCTCGGTTGACTGAGAAGCGAGTTGCTCGATCTGAGAACTCAATTGTCTTGTCTGACCTTCGACATGCCACTTGTCATGGAGCAACCAAACGAACCAAACGAACCAAACACTCGTGACCAAACCTGACGAGGATTTTCCCTGCCTCCGCACGGGCCGGGGGTCTGCATGGCCTGGTGTGCTTACCATACCATACGCGGTCGACTAAATTGCCCTTGTCAACCAGGAATGACGACCTGCCAACAATTTGCTACCTGCCATAACAGTGCTAGATGAGATCCCTGCGACATAAGCACTACTCGTGCTCTTGAATGCGACCAGAAACCAGACCCAGGCCGGACTTTGCCATCCCCCAAGTGTACCGATACAGTAACACATTAGGAGACCTCCGATAGGAGGGAGTCTGTTTGTGCAGGCCGAGAGTCGGCCCTCGCCTACTACGCACAGGACATACAGTACATACAGTACATACAGTACAGCGCTTCTTTCCCAGATCTGCAACCTCAATATGTGTAAATGCCCGCGGCTTACTACAGGCCTGGCAATCCGGGGAGGGATCATCATCATCACGAGGTGCAAGCCATGGGATCAGCTGAGGGTTCGCAACAATGGATGGGCTGATGGCAGGGCACGCAGGCATTTCGCTTGGATCCTTGGCATCGTGAGAGGGAGAGGAGAGACAGCGAGCTGGCATTCTTGTCTCCATATTCATCGAACGACAACAGTAGAAGTCAAGACCCTGCAGCTGTAGTCGAGGCAAAAGCAGAATGACATGCACCTCCCTTGTGTGCGACTCGACTCTGGGGTTTGCGGTGCATTGCTTTGTCACTCTTTCCCCAGAAAGATGGGGGAAAGTCAGATGAAGGGCCTCTTATGTCATACGTATACTGAGTGATGCTTGTGGCATTTGATCCCTGGCTATCATTTCCATAGCACCCTGTAAAAACCGATCGATGCTCGAGTCTTGCCCCTCAATTGCAGAGAGAAAGAATCCAGTTGGGGTGCAATAACTTCAAGTGTAACCCCCTCAACACAGGATGGTGCCCTATTCAATTCAACCAGGTCATCACTGAAACAACAAAACAAACACTTTAATCGACATGATCGGTCGGCATTTCGAAGATGTTAGGTAGTTATTAGTGGTTGGTTAGCAGTAGAGCCAACCCCAACCCCAACCCCAACCCGCCAACGGACGGGGGCCTCGGGAAAGCTGAGTCGCGGCGCCGCGGCGCTCCAATGTCATCTCCGGATTAATCAGACTTCTTCACATGAAGAAGGAAACCTGACTGAAAGGGCCAACGCTAACAAATCTTCAAATCTTCAATTCCTCCTAAACCATTCATTCATCCACCCCCACCTCCAGACACCATCCACCCTTTCACAACTCATTGACTCCAACTCCAAACAAGAGATCCATCCGTTTACCGCGAAAATCCGCAACTTGATCTAATCGATACAAAAACCCTGCGGATCAGCCACCGGAGAAGCTGGAATAGACCCAGACCTCCTCAACACCACCTCGGCTATACACAACCTTCCCATCCCAAAAGCAACGCCGAGAATGTCCTCATCCCACCCCTCGAAAGCAGACACAAGCCCTGCGCAGACGCAATCCACCGCAACCGAGCACGACGCCCAAACACCATCCAGCCCCTCCACCAACCCCGCAGAGACCACGACCACGACAACCATCCCCACGAGCACCACAACATCCTCCACCGCGCAACCCGCGCAACCCGCCAACAACGACGAGGATGATTCCGATTTCGACGAGTTAGACGGTCCGTCTTCCCCTCCCACTTTTGTTCGTGTGGTAAAGTGATAAGAGTGACGGCTAACAGCAAGCGGGGTAACTTGAAAACAAAAACAGACGTCCTCGACAACTTCAACAAACCCGCCGCCTCCACGACGACCACGCAGCCGCCTTCCTCCGCCACCGCCACCGCCGCCGCACCCGCCACGGAGGATGTTGATCTGGATGAGGAGGCGTTCCTCAAGCAACTCGAGAAGGACATGGCTAATTTGATGGGCGCGGGCGCGGGCGCGGGTGATGCCTCGGCGGCCGGGGGGATGTCCGAGGGGTTTGGGGACGAGGAGTCCCTCGACAAGGACGCGGAGATGTTCGCCAAGTTGCTCGAGGAGGGTGGGGTGTCAGCGGAGGACTTTTTGAAGCAGTTGGTTGGGGATATGATGAAGGGGGAGGCGGGGGGTGCGAAGGGGAGTGGTGGTGGTAGCAGCGGCAGCGGCAGCGGCGGCAAGAAGAAGAAGAGTAAGAGCAAGAAGAAGGGTAGCGGGGGTGCGACGGCTGGGGAAGCGTCCGCGACGAAGAGTGCGCCTGCGCCTGCGCCTGCGCCTGCGCCTGCAGCAACTGATGCTGCTGCTGCTGCTGCTGCTGCTGCTGCCGCCGCCGCTACGGCTACGGCTACACCGGAGACCTTCAACGATACGATCCAGCGGACGATCGAGCGCATGAAGGAGTCCGGCGACAAGGCGACGGCCGCGGCCGAGGAGGAAGACGACGGAGACGATGCGGACGACCTGGTGGCGCAGCTGATCAAGGCGATCGAGGCCGGCGCGGGCGGCGACGGCGACGACGCCGACCTGACCAAGATGTTCCAGGGGATGATGGAGCAGCTCTCCAACAAGGAGATCCTGTACGAGCCGATGAAGGAGCTCGACACCAAGTTCGGCCCTTGGCTGGCGGAGAACAAGGCCTCCGGCAAGGTGTCCGACGCGGAGCTGCAGCGCTACGAGAAGCAGGCCGGCGTCGTGGCCCAGATCGTCGCCAAGTTCGAGGAGCAGGCGTACACGGATGAGGATCCCAAGTGTCGCGAGTATGTGTGGGAGAAGATGCAGGAGGTGAGTGTGGCCGGCCAGCTTGCAACCAAAAACCGTGGGACCGGTTTGGGGCATCTGATCTGATCGAAATTAACTGACTTGACTGTTGTATAGATGCAAGCTTGTGGGAATCCCCCGGATGAGCTGATTCCGGCGCCCATGATGGAGGATCTTATGGGTGGAGGGGCCGGAGCCGGAGCCGGCGCCCCGGACTGTCCGCAGCAGTAGAGGTCTATTTCTTCAAGTTGTTCTCGCACTGGTGGATGCTGATGTTAATTTGGTCGGATGTGATGATCGCCGTTTCTCTGGCATTTGTCTGTCTATGTCTTGTACATATATCCCCTGCGTTTGCGCTCTCCCTAGACGTATGTCATGATGGTTTGATGTAGTGGCTAGCAACGAGAAAGTAGTGACTCCGTGTGTAAAAATTATGAGAGGGAGGGACCTAGAGAGTGAATAAATGGCAATCATACTTCTTATAGTACGTCGTGTCCATGCCATTGAATCATACATTATATACCCAGAGCCTGCAACCATCGTCTACTGGTCTCATATAGTATATATACATAACTCCTAAGTCCAACCTCCAGCAAACGCCCAAGCAGTCCATGATACAAGTCTCCATCAGCCCCGAAGTCGACCAGCGACATCCGGAACCAGACAACCACTCCCTCAGAACACTACGCTCGAATCCCACCCCAAAGAATCACGACATATCCATCTCCTGACTATGCGCAAACTCCTCCATCCCCGTCCCCCCCACCAAATCCATAAAGATATCATCATAATCCTCATCACTAAACGAGCCCGAGCCCGAGCCCGGGGCATCGTACCGCCTCTCCACCCCCATCTCCTCAGCAGCAAAGGCACCCCGCTCCTGCTCCAAAAGATAATGATCCAGCGCATCCATCTCCGCACCTTCACTTTCACCCTCATCATCCCTTTCGACTTCCTCCTCCTCCACCAACCCATCCAACCCGAGCCCAAACTCACTCACCGCCGACCGCCGCATCGCCTCCCCCCACCGCTTCTGCTCCGCCACATGCTCCAGCAGCACCAGCTGCTCGCCGCGGTTCTCAAAGCGCCCGTCCGCGCGGTCCCGCTTCACGCGGTTCAGGAACGCGTTGCGCCGGGTGGTGCGCGCCGCCGGCGAGGCCGAGGTCCCCGTGTAGGGTCTGGTGGATCGGGCGGCGGCGTTGGCGAGCGGGTTGGCGATCTGGGCGGCGTAGCGGGTGGCGAAGCGGGAGGGGTTGTTGGTGGAGGATGCGATCGGGCTTGTTGTTGTTTCCTTCGTGTTGTCGGGGTCGAAGGAGAAGAGCGGGCCCACGGTCGTGATGGCAGCGGAGAATGGTTTTCGGACTGGCGATCCGAAGCAGGATGCTGATGATGCGTCTGGTTGGAGTGGGGAGGAGGGGAGGAAGGTTGTTAATGGGGTTTCGGGGTCGGTAGGTGCTGCGCCGGCGTTGGCGGTGTTGGCCAGTGGGCTGGAGAAGAGGTTGCGGTTGTTGTTGTTGTTGTTGCTGGTGTTGGGAGTGCTGGGGGTGGTCATTGTTGAGGAGGACGAGAATGGTGAAGAGTGGTGACGGCGAGGAGAGAGTGGTGAGGGACGCGTGGGTGTGCTGCAGTGCGAGTGCGTCCGGGCAAATGGTGCGGTTGCGGTGGTATGAATTGGATTCGAAAATTGGTGTTCTTGCTGCTGCTGCTGCTGCTGCTGCTGCTGCTGATATACAGGCTGCGTCGCGAGCATCATTGCGAGCGAAGAATTGTTGCGGTGCGGATAGGGAGAGAAGGAGAGAAGTAGTGCAATTGTACTGTTCTCGGTGGCCGTGATGTGATCCCGCGGTACGAGCAGTGAGGTTTTGGGCTTGGTTCCGAGCGGTAGTCCCACTTTCTGTCTATGGTCGTGGATGTAGATAAGATCGGTTGTAGAAAATGAGAGGACTTTAACGGATGATAAGCATCAATGGCGAGAAGGTGTTCTGGCGGTATTTACAGCGGTGTCTGTCGCTTCGAAGATTGTCCCAGCCACTGCGATAAGGCAAAGTATTCGCATTTCGCATGCCGGATGGGAAATTCCCTCCCGCAACGCGTCCGCGTCAAACACGTAATCACGTGCTTACAGTGGCTTCATGCCTGATCCCTCAGGCTCTCAGGCGTTAAGAAGGTAGATCGGACATGTCAGCTCCGCCTCAAATAGGAGGCGGTAATGTAGTCAACTTGAGGATCATGCTTCTTTATAGAAAGCTTGATGATCATCAGGGACAATCCCCGGGCGAAACGCGTTCTTTCTCAGGTTCAGGCTAGATAATGCAACTTGGAATCCACCTACACAAGCCGAACGTGGGATTGAACACTTGCAATACAGCACTGTGTCGAGTCGAAACTGTATATCCTTTCATAGGTTCAGTGGTAGCCATTCAAAAGACACCCCTCCCTAAAACACATTCATTTCCTCTACAAAGCATCCCTAGGCAAAGCATAATGACGACATACTGCCGGACGGGATATAAAACGTTACGCGCAGCGACCATCTGCAGGGGAATACGTAGTCGATCCATTGGTCATGAGACCGTCTACTCGACGCCCCCGAAGCAACATATTGCATAGTTCATGCTTCAGGAGGCGCCGTCTTAGTCAACGATCTACCGCAGATCCTACAGCGAACAAACTTGATACTTCTCAAACATTCGGTCAATTAAATACATACAATCAAAAGCTTTTTGAAGGCTGAGATCGAAGACCTGCAATCCAGAGAGCAAAGATAGTGAGACGCGAGAATGCCACTGTCCAGCGTCCCCTAGAATGAATCAAATGCTTCGAGGGGGGAATCAAAGTAAACAGAGACCAATCATGCTAGAACAAAATCCGCTGTGCTATGTCAAGGAGTGTAGTGTATGTCGGAAAGAAGCGACATGTAGTCTATCAGAGAACGGGAAGGGTGGTTCTGCAAATGTGAAACACACATCGGGACAAAGAACTGAATAACGATAAAAATCAGACTCGAGGAATTCCTCGCCCACAAGCGCCATGAAAACTGCGTCATAATCGTACAAACTTTACAGTTCCGGAGCGAATATCCAGACGTTGTATCTTATCTGAGACAAGCAGATACAGAGACCGAAGATCGGGCCAGACTTAAAAGTTTGATGCCGCATTCACCGGACCAGGGTTGTGATACTGGTCAAGCGTGGTCTTGAAGGGCGTTCCACCGGCACCGGGGCTAGGAGCCTTCTCGCGAGCACCGGATCCGACGGCAGTGCCGCTCATGAGGTCGGCAGCTTCGTCGTTGTCATGAGCAGCCTTGCGAGCATGGATTCTCCAGGCCACCACCGCGATGGCTCCAATAATGATCGCACCACCGACACCTACAACAACACCAATAATGATCTTCTTCTGAGAAGACGAGAGACCGGAGCTGCCGCTGGAGCTGTTGGAAGAGGCCCCACTGAGGCTGGGAGAATCGGTCGCGCTGCTAGCCGGAGTGGAGGTAGTGGTGAGAGTGGTCTGCACAGGGGTTCCGCTAATGGTCTCAGTGGTGACGACGGTCTTAACGACAGGGGTAGCCGTGGTCTGGGCCGTGGTCTCAGAAGTGGTCGTAGAGCTATCTTTGCTGTTACTGTTGTTATTGTTGTTGTTGTTGTTATTGTTATTCGACGAGGTAGTGGTGGCGGCGGCAGCATTAGTAGTTTGAGGCGCGGTCGTATCTGCTGCTTTGGTTGTCTTGGCTGCTGGTTCCGTGGTACTCGTGGTCTCTGAGCTTGACGTAGTCGTGGGTTCAGGCTGACTGGTAGTGGAACTGGTGGTCTCTTTGGTGGATGAAGTCGACTCGGTTGATGAGGTTGACTCGGACGTTGTGGTAGGAGCAACCTCTGCGGTAGTAGCAGCCGCAGCAGAGGTGACAGCGTTTCCTACGCCCGTGACCGCGGCGCTCTGGCCAGCGACGACGGCCACGAGGGAGAGGGAGTAAAGGAGGAACGAAAGACGAGCGGCTCGCATGATGACAGCGGTTGGTTGGTTGGTTGGGAGTATTAAGTCGGAAGTCAAGTATCTCTCAAAGGCTTCCAGCGCCGAACGGACGGAGGTTGTGGGAGATGACTGTCAGACGAGACGTAGATGGGTATATTGAGGTCAGATTTCCAACGCGACAAAAGCCCAGATGGGAGTAAGCGATCGTATCTGTAGTCGGGAAGAGTGTGTAGTGGGTAAAGACACCGATGAGATAGGTGTCTAAATGGAAGATGGAGGGGTTAACGAGAGACTGCAGATGTAGAAGACACCCGAAGGGCACACACACGATACAATATGGAGTGGGTAAGAGAAAGAGCGTAAGGAGGTGCGGGATGGAGATTATTGAAAAAGGACTGGAGAGGGCGAGAAGGGAAGGGAAGGGAAAGGTCAGTGAGTGGCAGTGGGGGGACGGGAAGGAAAGGATTGGACTGATCCGCTCTGCCTCTCTCTCTTTCTCTCGCTCACTCAGTAATCAGTCACTTATTCACTCACTCACTCACTCACTCACTCATTTCACTGCAATCCTTTGCACAACCGTCCGGCCGCTGAAAAGTCACCGGGGCCAGGCAATCCAAAATCACCAATGGTAAACGCGCGCCCAGCCGTGGGCGCTCCCTAGTGTTGGCGCTAATGAGGTCCACTGACCAGTCAGCGGGAGCGATATGAGACAGATTGACCAGGGGGTTCACTAAATTTTGGAACATTTTGTGCATTGTTAGCCCATTGTGACTTTTGTGAGCATTTTCAGGCGCCTGACTTCGGGGCAGTGTCTTTGTTTGGGGCTTCGGAGGGGGAGGTTGGGTCGGCAATCCCACTTTTGATTCGTGGTCTTTCCACCGGCACACCCGAACCTCCTTCATCAATGGGTCTCACTCATACCCTAAGGCCGTTAAGGATTATTATCTGTCTATCTGTCTCCATATCAAGTCAATACTCAGTGCTCCGTAGACCACTAATTATGACTGCTTAGGCTAGCACACTGCTTTTTTCACCCCCCCCTCTCATCACTAGCCAAATTGATAGTGTGGGAGATCTTTATCCGATCTCTAACAAATTAATGAAGATTCCGCGACTATGGTTCGGTGATACTATTTTAAGGTCTGTACCGTGGATTCGATGTACCAACAATGACAGTACCACAGAACCTCATTCAGGTTCATCTTCAGTTCCTTTCTTACAGTCCTTACTCCTTAGGTCCTTAGGCAAGACTCAAACATCCCAAACAATGCCATCCACCAACCCGAGTCTCTCTCCCTTGGACTTCATGTTTCGCCTGGAAGTCCCGCATTCCTCCGCGTCGTGGGCAGTGGAGCAATTACTCAGTCAGTCCACATCATCCATCAGACAGACCCTGGGACATGGTGCAAAAAGGTACTGCAGAAAAAGGAATTTCTGATTGGCACCCGGTCTCGTGCCTGAAAGAAAATTTCGATTTAGACCCATCGACATTATGCCGGTGCAGCCGACGGTGCTCCATAATCAGACTCTGTTTTTTTCTTTTTCTTTTTTTTCTTTCGGGGTGGGAAGATCGCCTTAACCATCCAACATGGTTTAGCGTGGCGAGACAGAAAGAACTGCAGGGGCAAGCCATCCATCCCTTCTTGACCTACGGATATGTGTACAGCACTTGGGTAACTAGGCGATGCTGGAGCATGCCCTACGGTGGGTGTTATTCCGCTATCCGGAGCAATTGGGATGCATAGATACTATTATTGCCCTGAGCTTTGTGCATCTCGAACGAGTCCATTGGTCTTGACTTGTGTCTGGCCAGTCTGCCACGGAACAACCAAATGGTCTGGACAATGTCGAAATGGGCAAAGCTTGCGTGTCGCACGCAGTCGAGGCATGATCGGATGGGGAAAAGCTTGGTCTTATCAGATCTCGTTGACACCTGAGTCCCTCAGAAAAAGACAGTTCACAGCTCCCCTCCACCTCTCTGATCCGTGATGTAAGGGTGTCTCAGATGTAGACATGCGATTTCTAGAGTGATATCATCCTAAAGTCTACCCATTAGAGCTGATTGTACCGGGCTGCTCATACCCTGCAAGACCGTGCAGCGACAGCAGCAGAGTCAACTGCTAAGCGACTTGCATTCGCAATTCAACCATCATGCAATTTCTCTCGCCTTCCAATATGTCGGATTACCCATGTAGGAATCTGTATGAGAGCAACATGCTAGAGTTGTTGATTATCGTCTAAGCCTCGCTATCATCATGCAGAGATCCTCCCCTCAACCCTCAGACCACCGCAGACCCGGCTGACTTCTTCTTACTAATATGTAGTCATGTATGTACCGTATGCATCATTCGATATCATACCTCTTAAGCCGCATTGCTTCAATCCCGGATATCCCGGCGAGCTACTCCGTACAGGAGATACAGTATGCACAGATGCACAGTACCAGAGCCCATGCTCCCGGCTGAGAATCACTCGATCCCATCGCAAGCCACCTGAAATCAGCCACTACCTGCAGAGACGGACTGAGCACGATCAATCGGACACATCACACAGTACAGTACGATAAACAAGCCACCGCCAGGGCCTTCCAGACAGTAACTTGGTTAGCAGGAGTCTTACAAACCACCTGATCCAACCCTCGTAAACACCCATAGCCCAAAGCTTAAGCGCAAAAACAATAGTTGCTAGCAAGCCACCCGAGCGTTGCCACGAGGGAAAGGCCGGCAGTTGCCACGAAAGCGAAGCCACTCCCTGCTGACTCTGCCACAGCGTCACTTCCCATCAGTTCTGTCTGACTCACCGTATGTTCGTTGTCTGACGCTTACGAAGAAGAGGATACCTACGGAGTACCCCGTCTAATCCTCCCTTAGCAAGTTAGCATAGTTAACATGCATATGGATCGTGGGTTCTGTTAATTAGCGGCCACTTCTGCGATTTGGGTTGTAGACGTTCCCGAACCAAATTTACGGGAAATGCAAGCTGCGACTTGTAACTCAACTCTGTATCTCATGCCTGTAAGTAATTTTGGAAATGGACTGCTGAGTTGGCAATCACACAAACATAAGTAGCGAAAGTAAACAGAAGGAAGGGTAACTAAGGGTAGACTAAGGGGACGGGAGGCGAGGGAAACAGCCTGGAAAAAGGCCCAGCCTAGACCAGACCCCCTCGAGACCCTGCATGACACCTGTAGCGGTAAGTTGTAACCACGGACGGGGAGGCACGCACTGCTTGCTGGCTTCCAATTCAACCCTACTACAAAATGCAACATAAACAAGATGGGACCACTTTCCAATCCAATAATACTCCATTGACTCATGAGACCTTCTTCATAATAGCCAACTGTCTCTGCAATGCATTCAGATAAGGTGATCAATTAGTAGATAACTCTCCGGACTTTAAGGCATGCCTTCGTCGTTTCCACAACATTCCGCGCCTCCCCTTCTCCCCCCTTCGAATGCTTTCCGGCTGATCGGCAGTCGGTGACGGGTTCTAGACTTCCTGTTGCACTCTTCACTGCCAACCCTCCCCCCTCCCCCACCGGGGTGGTCGTCATCCAACGTGACTGAGCTCTTGGGGAGAGGGGGCTACTATGTCGGGTTGAGTACTGTACTTGCATGCACTTTCATGTAGGGGTCTGGATCTGGAACCCGGAGAGATGGGTGGGTGGGTGTGGTGACGACTACGTGGATCGGGTTGGAGCTTTGGGGGTTGCGCGGGTTTATCTACCGGAGTGCGTGTGGGTTCGGCCTACGCGTGCGTGCGTATGTTGTTTGTGTGTGTGTGTGTGTGTGTGTATGCTGATGTTCTCCTGGACAGACAGGGTCGGCCTAATGTCCATCTGATTTGTGTACATGTACCCATGCAGTCGGTTGGAGAAGTGAGTAAGCTTGAATGCTTGGGGGGTCTTTGACAAATCCACCTAAGTTGGTGACTGCTTCAACCCTGAGTTCGTACTGAGTAGATGAGATTTATAGGGTTTTGTGCTCGTCTATGCGGTTTGCCCTGCCTTGCCTTAAGGGAGTCAGTTGTGCAAAACTTACCAGCGGCTTTGCAGGTCTTGCTCGCATACGCGAGCGTGCCGACTGCGACATGGGCAAGGCTCGATATCTACGAGGTGGGCATTTGATCGTATGCATGAGTTCTCCCTGGGTGACCTATCTCTTCAGTCGACGATTTTCCGAGATCGAGGTTGCTGGTGCGAAGATATGAACATCGATGGTTCATGTTGCCTACAGTTGTGAGATGTTTACTTTCATTCACAGATTCGACCTGGGTGGACAAGAGAGCCGATTCAATGAAGTGGACGAGGCAGGACGAGTGCTCGCTCGACGCTGATTCGGATGATGGATGTACGCTATGCAATACACCATGAATTGGTCTGGCACCAAGCAAGAAACCGGAGAATTACTAAATAAACAGTCTGAATTGATGGGTATCATAGGGATATAGATTGGTTGATATGAGCCTCCGCAGTCGAATTTCCAGCTCGCCGATCAGTATTTCTCCGTGGGCTTTCCTTTGAATTGATTCTGGCACTCCTCCTTGAAGTATGCCCAGAACCTTCTCGGGGTAGAATCTAGGAATGTATCTTGTCAGGACCACCAATCCCCACTCAATGTGTTTCGAGACTCTACACAGATGGCAGTCAATCTGTGTGTATGTGTTGTTTGGCATACCAGGGTTTGAGAGACGGCCGGAGCTGCTAATCCGGGGCGTCTCTGGCGGAGGCACGCCGTGTTTCACACGTTCAACTTGTTCATGGACCTTCCCAACGACGCGGTGAAACGTCCGGCTGGAGAGCAGCTTTTTTGTCATAAGGAGCGACTTTGGTCAGTCTTAAGGTTTCGCAGCGGACTTCGGCCATCGTTGACAAACCTGACGAACGAGCAGCGTCTGAGAGAGAAGGGAAAGTGCATTAGCATTAGGCTGCTGTGCGATGAAGGGATGAGAGGAGTCCATTATGCCCAAAGACACACACCTCCAACGCTTGGAGCCCAAGCATCCGGAAGACCATCCTGCAGAGATCCTCAGGGAATTCAGTCGACCGTCTATCGTCTACCGGTGGAACACCATGAGCAGCACTGTCGATGACAGTGTAATCAGTGGTTGCATAAACAGGTGGCGGTTATGGCTACGACGCTGGGAACACAATTGTGGTGCTGAGAGAGAAAGAGCGGAGATTAGAGCGAGTCCGAGATGAGAGATTACCTAAGGACCCGACCGGGTGCTTGACTTGACAGGGCCAATAACAGCCACAGCCGAGACTGAGCAAGCAAACAGCAGACCGGGACCAATGAGAGACAGAAAAGTCTCCGACGCGGGATGGAACCCTTTACAAGAATGCATCTCCGATCATGAATGGAGACTGTCCCAGATGAATTAAATGAATTATTTTGACTCTCACCTCCCTCTCTCATCAAGGTAAGAGTACATAGATCCATGAAGGGAAATCTTGGATCGCCTGCCGGAGCTGATCCAGGTCTCCTGATTACATCACCGTTCTTGTCCCGAGGCCAACGAAACAATTCAAGGTCCCTAGCAGCCTGGAGTACCTTATGCATGCCCATCTCCGGATTGCCAGGACCAGCTATGAATCCCATTGTAGTGATTAGTCCAATACCGTTAGTTTTATACAAGATCGATCCTGCCGCGGTCACTGGAAAAAAAATTCTTTCGTCTGTGTTTGATATAGGTTTTGACTTGCAAGGACATCTTGACAAGCTATACTTCCTCTTCGCATTCTTGCTCTGTTTCCACATACGCTCTATTTCTCTCTTTCTTCCCGACCAAAAGTCATCGGACGGGTGGCCACGTTCTCTGGCAGTGCGGGGAGTGCAGCTTCGAAATAGCGCCGCGAGGGGAATATCCGTGAGGGCAAGGAAAAGAGAGAGAGAGAAGAGAGAAAAAAAAATTGCTCCTCTGGCCTTGGCCCAGGTTCAAGCATTCCCCCCCTTTCTCGTTGGGATATGGTGTGGCATTTTTTATCGTCAAGAGAATAAATATAGCAGAAGAATTTCACCAGCCACGATCTTTGCCACCTGAATTGAACTCATAATCTCATTCAACCCCTCCGCGACCCCTCAGGGCTATCCTTGCCGAGATTATTTTGTCCAACTACCTACCGGTACATACATACATCCAAATCTACATACTGTTGGCTGCAGTGACGCCAGTCCGATTTGGTTGAAAACAAAAACGATTAGTCCGTCGGACGAGTCAGCCTGGCTAACGTTACGATTCGTGCGCGCCTTGTCCCCGTGAGATCGAGAAATCTGGCCAAGCACATTGCCGTGTCGAGGGGCAGCTTCCACAGCTGTCCCGATCTGTCAACGCTTCAGATATCCCCCTCATCATCCCTGCTGCTGCCACACGCCGCCGCCGCCGCCCCCAACGACTTCGAGGCCACTGTCAACCCTACCACCACCACTGCCCCAACCTCCCGTTCTCCTTCTCCCCATAGCACTGCCAGTCTCCGCAACGGTCCTCGTACACTCGCAGCCACCAGAAAGCGGGTCTCCAAAAAGGCGCGCGGCGTCCTGGGCAAGGTTCGGGCCTTCCAGAGGATCGCTGCGGCCAAGATGGCGCATCCCTCCATTAAAATCGACACGAGCGTCCAGTCTACTAAGCGCGCTCTCCCCGAGGACACCGAGGCAGGTTTGGAGATCGCATACGGCTCCGATGACGCCCCAGCGTTGGACGTTGGCGATCATGATTCCGTGCCGCCGTTCCTCTGTCAGTCGGTCGTAGGTTCGTTTGCGCCCGCTTTCTCTACCCTTTCCCCGAGCGCTTGCTGCTTGCTGTCTTTACTCTCCATCTCATGCGCTGGTTCTTCGACTAATACTTTCTTTCTGGGATCGCAGAAATTCATAACAAATTCGAAGAACTTGAATGGATGCAACGGACGCGGCTTCTGGAGGGCACACAGGCCAACGACCCCTCACATCGATGGGCGCTAGAGGCAGATCCGGAAGTTAGAGCAAGGAACCGATATATGAACGTCCAGGCATGGGCCAACTCTCGCATTCACCTGCGCGTCCCGGAAGGTGAATGCGACTTCATCAACGCGTCGCCGATCGTTCTTCAAGGTTCACTGTCGCAGCAGGCAAGGAGGTATATTGCGACCCAGGTAAGCGGGGCACATACGAACGGGACATATCTGCGTGCTCTACTAATCTGTTATCATGGATAAATAGGGCCCGAAGCTTGGCCATGTGGCCCATTTCTGGCAGATGGTGTTTCATGAGAGCAAGGATGTCGGAGTAGTCGTCATGCTCACGCAGACCTTCGAGTCCGGGCGCGAGAAGTGCTCGCAGTATTTCCCCCTCAACAGCGACAGCCCTTCCATGCCTCTGCGGCAAGTCGAGTCCGATCAGTACGCAAGCGACGACGATCAGCACAGCAACGGCGAGCTCTTGGGGGAAGTCACACTTTTGGAGACCTCGTGGGATCCCGCGTCGCGGTCTGAAATCCGAAAGCTTCAGCTCACCTTCGGCGGCGAGACCAAGACCGTGTGGCACTTCTTATTTGCTGGATGGGCCGATTACTCCAAACCCGAAGGCGAAGATCGGGATGCGCTTTTGCAGCTGATCAAGCTGTCCGACTCGAAGAGCGCGCCGGACAATCCACGCATCGTGCACTGCAGCGCCGGCGTGGGCCGCACCGGCACCTTCATCGCGCTCGACCACCTGCTGCAGGAACTCGAATCGGGCCAGCTGCTGGAGGCCGTCGGCCCGGAGGTCGACCCCGTCTTTGAGACGGTCAATCAGATGCGCGAGCAGCGGATGATGATGGTCTACAATGAGATGCAGCTGCAGTTTATATACGAGGTCCTGCGCGAGCAGACCGATCTGAAATTGGGCAAGGTTACCGGGCGCAAGTCGGACGAACGGTCCACCAAGATGGCCAAGTTGTCCAACGAGGCCAATTACCTCGCCAACTACCACGTTTCCTCCAAACCGGAGTTGGAGCCGTCCACACCGACGCGTAGCTGGTCGGGGACACCGGAGGTGTCTGATAATGAATGAGCGCCCCCCTCGCGGCCACAATAATCTTCACCTATAATCTTCTCCAGTACATATTTTTATTCTACTCTAATCCTTATATTTGTTCACTCCGTCCACCGCGACGCTTGTTGCAGTTGTCTTCGTCTCCACCTTCTGTTCTATATTTATAGTCACGATGAATATCTTATGAATTGTTCTTTGGCATCCTCTGTTATACTCCTTGCCCCTCCATGTTGTTATCTGATGTGCTGTCCAGGCCATGTCGCCGTTCATGACCGGGAGTGGAGATATTATATCGACGGCTGTGTGACTTCGGAGTCTCCACAACTCCGGCTCTTTTCTCTCTCCCTCATCTTTCCTACATACCTACTAGAATTGTGAACCGTGCTGCATGTTCGACCTTATTCCCAATCTGCCTCCTATGCTTCACTGCCAGATAGATCTACTTACCTACCTTCCTGATACTCCAATTCACGAATCTACAGGATATGGCCCGAAACCACCACACTGATCTCTTTTCTGCATGCCCCATGAATACGATACCCACAGAACCATCAAAACTGGATACCCTCCCCGTAAGTATATCTGTAAACAATAAACCAGGTTTCCCCTCGCTCAATCCAGCCGCCGAAGACAATCGAACCCGAACCCGAACCCGCAAAGAAAGAGGGAGGGTGAAAAGCGCTCCAGAGAAAATCAGTACCTAATACACAAGACCCGCCTATTTGATCAAGCAGGCATTTTCTCGCCCACCATTCTCGATGCAAACCCCCCCTCCTTAGCGGGAAGGTCTACCTCCTTCCAACGGTGGGAACAAAACTCCCGGTTCGGTTAGAAGGCCATTTGGTACAGTGCATGTTTGCCAGGATCACGGGCGAGGTAGATGAGCCGCTAGGGGGGGGGGGGGGGGGGGGGAAAGCAAAGATAGATAGATAAAGCTCGATGGATGATGGTCATTATGTGCTTTGTGGCGTGGTTGTTAATGTTCTTGTGCCTGTTCTTGCTCATGAGGATGAAGGCCCATGGGTGATAGTTGTATATACTATATGACAAATATGGGGTGCGGATATGGCCGCCGCGGTAGAGTGAGGGTGAGATTTTGGGTTTTGAGAGGTTCGGAATGCTCATGATAGCTGGGTAGATGTGATGGGGTTGAGGGCGTGGAGATAGAGCACCTGGCAGAGGGGGGTTGGAGGTCGATCGTCATGTACGTCGTTTCTATGAGGGCGGGTGTGGTCTGTCTGCCTAGTACCTGGGTGAAGGTTCCAGTTGCAGGTTGCAGACCCTACCGGCACGAGGTTTGGATTTGGATTGGGAGGAGATGGTTGGGGGAGACTGATCGATCGATTGGTAAAGTTAATGAAAGGAAGAGATATCACACAATTGTATGGTCAATCATTTCAGCCAATCGACCACCAACCCAACCGACCCATCCCAATCAATCGATTTCCAGCGATCAAGAAAAAAATCAATCACTCCGCTTCTTCCCATCCCCGGCCTCCCCCGGCGAAGTCCCGGCGGTCCCGCCTAGCTCGTCCGGCCCATCTTCCGTGTCCCAATTGTCCACGGCGTTCTCGTCCCAGTTGTCCACCTCCTGCTCCAGGTTCAGGACGCCGGTCTCCTGCGGGCCGAGGCCGTCATGGCCGTCATCGAGGTGGTGGCCGCCGCTGCCGGCAAGCCCCAGCTCTACGTCGTCGTCGGCGCCGTCGCCGCCGCCCAGGCTGCCGAAGCGGGCCTTGCGGCGCCGGTCGAGCATGCGGCGATGGTACCAGCTGCACAGGCCGACGGCGCCCAGGCTGCCGACGATGTTGGCGAGGAGGTCGAAGGGGTCGAAGGTGCGGCCGTTGGGGAGCAGGCCCTGGACGATCTCGGAGCCGATGCCCAGGATGAGGGTGCACACGACGAGGGTTAGGTGTAGGGTGCGGCGGCGCGAGGTGTCCGGAATCCAGTAGAAGACGAGCGACAGGAGGAAGAAGGTCACGACATGCAGGAATTTGTCATTGGGTTGCAGCTGGGACGGTATGCTGGACGAGTCGCTGTGGGGGAGGAGGCCGATGTAGGCGGCCAGGATGAGGAGGAAGACAAAGGCGCCTGTTTTGGGTGGGATTGATTAGCATGGTTGAGATGTATGGAGTGGAGAAGAAGATGCTGTAGTTCAAAGCTATCTCCGGATAACTTTGTGTGTGGTGGATAGAGGTAGCTTGGGAAATTCATCTTGTCTGTGTGTTTGCCCGGAATGGGAGGTGGGAGAGAGCAATCGATAAGAAGATCGAATGGGGAAGAGAGCAAATACTCACCCGCAAAAGGATAGCGGATTCGCATGATGAGGAGAAGGAGGAAGTTAAGAAACAATCAGAAATTGGTGGACAGCGGCCCAGAGCTGGCTGGGAGGAAGCACAGAGGTCGAAGGTCTGGCGATGTTGGTGATTGATAGATAACTTGAAGTTCGCTCTAACTACCGAACTGGTGATGTAGTTCCGAGAACGTCATGTGCTGGCTTGCTTGCTGTAATCTGTGACTGTGACCATACGGTAAGGTAAGATCAGGCCGTCAGGCATCCAATCCCGTTGCTTTCTAGCACTGTTACTTCTGTTACTTCTGTTACTTCTGTTACTTCTGTTACTTCTGTTACCTCTGTTACTTCCCATCCATCTTCACCTATTGCTTGCTTGCTTGCTTCAACACTTCTTTTCTCCCAATCCAAATAGCACCACAGACAATCAATGATCCAGAACACACCCTTATACATCTACCCTACCTGTTGACATTCCCTCTTTGTGTTTGGACTCATTTATCTGTTGAGTATAACTATCACTATCCCTCCCGGGAACAGCTCGGGCTTAGTATCAGAACTGCGCGGTTGGTCTAAACCTGCGGCGGCCGCCGTTCCGCCTTTCACGGCTGCTGGAACCTCACCTCATCCCGTTCGCGCAGAGAACCTCGTAACTGTACGGC